CCCGCGTGATACGATGAAGCTAAACTCGGCATCTTCATCCATTGGGGTGTATTTTCCGTTCCTAGTCTAGGCAGTGAATGGTTTTGGTACACATGGCAACATCTTCATGGAGGAGCCGAAACAAATTATATGAAAAACAATTATAGACCCGATTTCACTTATGCAGACTTCGGGCCACAATTTACCGCAGAATTTTTCGATGCAAACCAATGGGCAGATATGTTCAAAGCTTCTGGTGCGGAGTAAGTATTTATGTTACTTGTAGAATAGTCACTGCAGATATGTATGTCAAAAACTGTTTGTATACCAGTGGCGGCGCCAAAGGGGGGGGGGGGCAAGGGTGTCCCCACCCCCAACATAAATCAGGCCTGGCCTTTGTCCCCTTCCCTAATAATTTAAAAATAAATAAAGAATCAAATATTTGTGATATGTTTCGGTAATCAATACCTTCTACGGTGATTAAATCCCACTTTCCCATTCAGTCATAAACTTGCATGTTTTAGAGTCCGAGTGATTTCTTACCGAACCCATCCTGCTGTAGACCAACTATAAACATTAACACGTAAGTGCTTTTTACACAGTCTATTTTTTTAAATTTTCGCAAGTCCGCTCGTTTGACACTTTTCTCTCTGGTCGGATAAACTATAGGGATCAGGCGACAGGCGTTATCTGGTCAACTCCAGTTATCTCGACAATCGGTACCTGAATACTGTAAGACTGCATTTCCGGCTGTATATTTTTCAAAATTTTCTGGGGACCATACCTTACGTCAGGGCTCACTACTTTTGGCGCTCATGATGGACTTTGTCCGTTTGACAAGTTTCACTCTAATTGAATAAACTAGTAGTCAGGCGACAGGCGGTATCTGGTCAGATCTATTTATCTCGACGATCGGTGCATGGAATACTACTGCTATACTGCATTTCCGACAGTCTGATTTTCAGACATTTCTGTGGCAGACACCCCCCCCCCCCCCATACCTCTAGTTGAAGCTCGTGCCTTTGCCCGCTTAACCTTGGACTTTGTGCCAGCTTTGTCTCTCCAACTACCGCGGCAACCACATCCGCTCTACAGGGTTGGATTAATCATTAAACAAAATAAGCACGTTCTTAGCGCATCATGTGTGGGGGGATAGGGGGCACCAAAATCTTCTAATTGCTTAGGACCGTTGTAGGTCTTAATCCGGCCTTGCCGCTATATTTTCATACACCTCTTAAACCGCAAGTCTACATAAAATGATGTTTGATAAGACCTTGGTAAGTGCAGATAATATGGTCGTGCATTTAGTGCCATTGATGCATGTGATTGTTATGTTGGCAGATGTATAATAATGTACTTGTACTAGCTGCTGGTTTAACGTCTGCTTCCACCACAGTGATATGACAGACCGAAGAACGAAGTTGTCGTGCAATAGCCCCATGTTTATCTCTTCGGATTTATTACGTAATACGATATTCGAGCGTATGAAAAGGGTCAACTCTACCAAGGGAAATGGGTAGCGTTATTATATGAAATTGCTACTCAGTGACTGTTGTTCGTCTTCTAAGCAAGGTTGTAGTATGTTGGCCCTTAGAAGATGCCTGCACCCGAATCATACAGTCAGTGACGTAACGTGTCCACACATTAGCTATGTCACTCCACTCACAGTCCTAGTACTGCACAACAAATTCGAAAAACAAATGTTAAAAACGGTAGCATCTATCGCGTTAAATCTGGTAAAAAAGTGTAGCCTCTATCGTGTTAAGGGTTGTAAGGGTTGCGTTGGTAACTCAGAACCGGAAGGTTGTTGAACACTGAATATCGATAGGCTGCGCCTTGTCATGAAGCCATTTTAATGATCCATACCAAATTTAAAAAAAATTGAAATATTTTCAAAACTGTGAAGACTCTTTCGCGTTAACGACGTTTTCGGAAAGGGAGAGAGTAACTATGTAAAGGAATGTCCTCACATGGATCTAGTTCCGATAAAAACTGTGGCCTCTATCGGATTAATAACCCAAACCGACGGACATGGGGGTGGCATTCGTACATACTGAAATGTATATAGGCGTATAAAAATGGATAATGAATCGATAATGTTTCCTTAATACCAGGTCAGCATGCGTTATTTTTCTCAGAGAGTAGTACAGGTGATAAGGGGCTGATAAGAAACTATCCTTGACACTATTGATTAGTTATAATTCTTTGTTTGGTAAAACTCCACCTGGAACTCAATTGATTCGCGTGCTCTACCAGCATGGTACCAAAAAACCTTTCCCCGTATCGTTAGTCACTGAGGTGTATTCGTCGGAATAATTTAGACTGAATGGTGGTTAAGCTAACTCTAAGGGTTGTAAAGTATATATAAATTAATAAATTAGTTTTACGTACGCTGATTTTCCACCGCAATTCAAAGGTCTGTTTAATCTCAGTCAGTGGGTAGACTGTGTTAAGGGATTATATAGGCTTTGCCTGTTTCCTAATCCTAATATTCAATAAAATATTGTTTAAAAAATCCCGATTTGAACAGAGTCCGTGTAGGTATGCAATTTATGCGCAAAAATATAGAGAAATGGTGTATTTACCTTGTCTCGAAATGTCAGCTCAAAATATTGAGTAGTTTGGACGCGAACGTTAAAACCGCTTATGAGGAGATTTCGGGTCATATTTTTTCGTTGGGTAACTTGATAATTTATTGCTGATTTTAGAGGTCTATACAGTGCATGAACCACGTGATGTACTTGATAAGGAAAGGTCTGGTTTTATCCAGACATCGTTTAATACAGCTTGGGACACCGGTCTTTATTTCAAGATGAATACTGACGAGAGATTTCGAGAGATTTAAAGACACAATTAAGCAGATTTACTCTCCAAAACTTGACCAAAAGATACGCCCTTTAATTTTGCACTACTACGCCAAGTAACCGTATGCAGTGTATTTTCAGTTTTGATTATTGCAGTTCATTCTGTAAATCTAACCCATAGATGTGAAGTTATCCTTCGATTTTGTCGTATCATTATTTAAAATAATGGTAGGGCAATGTGCCAAGTATACGTTAGAGACTTTTGGCAAGCAGAATTTCTCCCATCCGTATCACATATGGATACGTGTTGCGTTGCGTCAGTGTAGTTTTAGTGGTTCGACAGATTTTCAGTGTAGTTTTAGTGGTTCGACAGATTTTCGTTCCGCGTACGTATGAATAGCTGTGCTGAGCTTAGTTCTATTACAGCATGATGGCAGTTATCTACCAAGATCACCATCAGTACTAATCAAGTGTCTAGCCTACAAATGCAAGTTCCTGGGGGAGTAAAGTCGCTCGACTTGGTAGATATCTGCCATCATGCTGTAATAGAACTAAGATCAGCTCAGCTATGTATTTACGCGACGCAAAAATCTGCCAAAACTCTAAAACTAAATTGACGTAACGTATCACGTATACGATACGGATACGTGACTGATACGGATGGGAAAAAATCCGATTACCAAAAGTCTCTAATGTTCCATACGTACTGCCGTATCCGTGTGCACTGTCACGTTTGAGAAATACGCACACACACACACTGATGACGTCACACATAAAATCTATATGAATCAGGAATTTTGGCTTGCCAAAAGTCTCTATTATTTATACTAGTTGAAATTTAGGAACCACGTGAAGTATTTCATTGCAAAGCACGTGCTTAAGACATTGCGTAATATATTAAAACAACGCGAAGTACGTCTCGCTCTCGACCATTAAACCACACGTTTTAAGAGCATTTCGCTATAATAACGCCATAAATACATTTGTTCTATTATTATACAGGCCAACTATGAATGTGCTATATTACTGCCATCCTCGTGTATCTATATATCATAAATATGTGTTTCATTGCTGTCATTCCGTGTGGATCGAAAATAAATGTGTTGTATTGCTGTCATTTTTCGTGTATCGAAAATAAATAATATGTGTTGTATAATTGTTATTGTGTTGTATTGTGTATTATATTGTGTTGTACCTCAAGTACTATAAATAGAAATATTGATGTAGAGCAATTCAAAGCCGACATAACCTATGAGCAGTTTTATGAACAGATCAAAGGACATGATGGTGCACCTTCTGAAACCCGGCAATAATTTTTTTCATGGTTTTGTCCCGCAATGGACCAAACAAGTGTAATATTCCGATTAGCTGAACCATGTGAGCACCCCTCCCCACCCATGCACGCATTTGTGCCTAGTTATTCATGGCATAAGATGTGTGTTGTAAGGTTTCAACCCCTTGGTGTTTATTATTGATGTTAAATGTACCTTTGACTGCATAAGCTGTTTCAAGCGATGTGGAATTTGTCCTCCGAAAGTGCATTTTGTGCTACTTATAGAATTTCAGTAGGTATTTCACATTTATTTTATTAGCACTGCAAATCGTGTCTACACTTTCAGTATATGTTAATGTTCCTCATTTCTTTAATATAAGTAGTCGTTATATTATTAATGTTCCTTACATCTGTAATATAAGTAGTTGTATAATTAATGCTCCTCACATATGTAATATAAGTAGTCATTTTATTGTTTATGTTCCTCACATCTGTAATAAAAGTAGCTGCGGTATTGCAATTGGTGATAATGTTCCTCGCATAATGTAATATTAGTAGTTGTTGTATTGTTAATGTTTTAATTATGTTCCTCATAACTGTCATATTATAAGTAGGTGTTATAGTGCTTATACTGTAGCCCACAAAGCCTCATGTAACCCACACAACAACTATTCAATATAGTCGCAAACAAAACTTAAGAATTGGCATTTGAACACTGGAAGTGTTTGCGTTACGACTAGATGGAGCAATCTTCAACCCAATATTTAATGTGTATTTGTTCGGTCTACTTGGTATAATGGCCGTCTTTAGTGGAAAAGGAAAAAAAAAGCCACTCTACAAATTGTGAATAAAACAGCCCAGCATGTGGTATTTTTCTCAATTGTCATACATTAAAAGATAAAAAAATTGACCAAAGTGCTGATAAGGAATCATGATATAAACGATTGTCGGTCTTTCAGTTGCTTAAAAATGTCTTCAAGGACAGTTCTGATTTTCTGTGCTTTCTTTGTATCAGTATTGGGTGCTCGGTACGATCCAACATGGGACTCTATTGATTCGCGTCCTCTACCAGCATGGTACGACGAAGCCAAGCTAGGTATCTTTATTCACTGGGGTGTATTCGCCGTACCCAGCATCAATTCTGAATGGTTTTGGGAACGTTGGCAGGGTAGTCGAACTCCAGAGGTTGTAAATTTCATGAAAAATAACTACAGACCAGATTTTACGTACGCTGATTTTGCACCCCAATTCACAGCCGAGTTCTTCGATGCTAATCAATGGGCAAATATGTTCAATGCATCAGGTGCCGAGTAAGTTTAAGGCTTGTGCTATAAATTTTGATTATTTTAAGGAATGCAATTATAATTGCATTCCTTAAATCCAAGTTAAAGGAACCAATTCGTTGTGATTAATTTGTAAATGGTTCTTCATAAATATCTGTCGTGATTTTATTATACTTCCTGCCTCAAAGAATATAATAATATAACCATATAACTGATGCAGCTTTGACATAATTATTCTCATTGGTAATGTTTCGTTCTTGACGTTATAATTGATTATGTATTTTACAGGTATATCGTGTTTGTGAGTAAGCACCATGAAGGTTATACAAACTGGCCTTCTAACCATTCATTTAACTGGAATTCCATGGCTGTAGGTCCTAAACGAGATATCGTTGGTAAGTTTCTTACTTACACATGCGCAAACCATATAATTAGCAGTGCATATTTATTGTTGATTGCATGCACCAACATTTTGGTCAATTTGTTCAGTTTTAAAGGAGGTATATAAAGCATGCTAAAGAAAAGCATTTTTATTTTATAATATCATATTCTATTGGCTGAAAAGGAAATTGGATCATTGTGTCCATGCCATAAAATTTTAAGCGCAACGTTAAGTCGCTTTAGCGATGACATTATGTAGATCATGTTTTCACAATAGTTCATGTTTCGTTTCTTTAGGTGAATTAGCTGCAGCTATTAAAACCAACACCTCAATTCATTTTGGTGTGTATCACTCTCTCTTTGAATGGTTCCATCCACTGTACTTACAAGATAAAGAGAATAACTTCTCAACACAAAATTTTGTCATTGTAAGTATTTTTTTTTCTGTATGAATAGCTATGGCGGGTGTGGCGCCAGGCAGGGTAAGCTTACTCTTCTGGACACCTGTTACGACTGTTTGTCGTGTATTTTGTACATGGTGAACAGTCCATATGCTGATTACACCATTTTGCCTGATTACACTAGTTTGCCTATACCGTTTTTTTTAGGACTTTGAATTTTGTCTAATGGTTTGGATTGTTCGTACTTGGTTTTATTTCATTATCTCGATTCCTTGTCATTTTGGCTTAGTTTTCGTCCATTTCCAAATGCCAAGTGCAAGTGTTATTTTACGGCCATTATGAGGGAAATTGGGTTTACCGACCACTTAACCTATGGGATTTACATATTGGTAGTTATATTTATTTTAATAATTCGGTTGTGTGCACATTTCTTTAGCAGTGAAGAGGATGGGGGTGGGGGCATTATAAACCGACGAAATTTGGAAAGCGATCTTATTCCTTATAACATTAAGTCTGGGATCAAGCTAAAGCACTTGAATCGCTAGACATACCTTATAATATTCCCAACTGATATCGCTACAAAAAAATGAAAATAAAACCTAACTGTTGATATCATATAGATTCCATTGTGTGGGGATAAAAAACAAATATGTTCTATGCTTTTGAACCCTTTATAGTTATTTTGATTTTTTATAACTCTAGTCATGATATACTTACAATATAAACATGTTAAAAGAGAATAACTAGAGCAATTCAGAAAACCCAACTTCTTTTTGGATTCTACACTGTATGGATTAATTAATGAAAACATTATTATTTGTGATAATTTTGTAGGACAAAACAATGCCAGAACTTTACGAGTTAGTTAACACTTATAAACCTGATGTTATTTGGTCTGATGGTGATTGGGAAGCAACAAGCGATTATTGGCAATCCAAAGAATTCTTATCCTGGCTTTACACTGATAGGTGGGCCTATTTTGTTTCTGAAATTTTGCATAATGAAAAAATAAAATAATAAATAAAAATATGCCGAAACATCGAAAACTAATTAAGATATTACTGCATTTTGTAAAGAGCATGTCCAATTATCCCAGTCGGTGCTGAAAAGTAAAGTGTTAACCCCCATTTCAATGCATTTCTTAAATTGTTCACTATTTCTTTTTCTACAGTCCTGTTAAAGATACTGTTGTAACGAACGATAGATGGGGTAAAGATTCGACATGTAAACATGGTGGGTTCTTCACCTGTCAGGACAGATATCAACCTGGTAAGATAGCATATCAAGGGGAAATATATATTCTATTAACACTGGTCAGTTAGTGCGGGCAGTTTCCAAGGGTTAGGTAACTCTTTTAGAGCACTCGTCTTTAATTATTCATTCACCTGTTTAAAATGACTTTTTGATAAGTTTTCGGGTTGCTTACCAATCAAGACACGCGTTTCCAATTGGTCTTTGAACAGGTATCACACATTCTGAGATATTTGCTTTTAACTCGATTCCCACCTCAAATAAGTAACCGATTTTATCTGGGATTCCTGTTAAATGTCATCAGTGTGACAGATCTGTATTCGTCTTTTTCTTATGTATACCAAGTTTTTGTCTTAGTTTCGGGATTATTTATTTGTATCCAGTTGTACACTTTTGTTTATATGCCTCTACTAAAAGATCGGCTCTTCTTCAGGTAAACTTCAGTCAAGAAAATGGGAGAATGCAATGACCATCGATAGAAGATCTTGGGGATACAGAAGGAACGCACAGCTCAGTGATTATTTGTCCACCGAGGAACTGTTATCCACTTTCATCGAAACTGTTAGGTATTTATTTATTTGTGTCTTAAATTAAGAGTTCATGAAGGTAAATAGGTTTGAAGCGTTCGTGTGACGGTTATATACGTTTTCTTAAATATTGTTCCTTTATAGTTTTGGAGGAAATATGTTGATGAACGTTGGACCTACAAAAGAAGGAACTATTCACCCATTATTTGAAGAGAGATTAAGAGATGTTGGATCCTGGTTGAATGTCAACGGTGAAGCTATCCGATCATCTCGGCCATGGACTTCTCAAAATGATACCTTAACCCCTCACGTGTGGTAAGTTATTTTCATGGGTGTGCCGAACTTCACTTTTAATATGCACATGTTTAATATGTACGTATATATTTGTCAATATTACCTGTCTACATTTGCTATGAGTCAGGGTTCCTTACGGATTGATTTTCACCCGTCTTCATTAGCCCAGTCGGAGCAGAACAGTATGACGTTAAACCCTGTTTCATTTCATTTCATTTATCATATTCACAGAGTAGAGTTTTAGATTTGTTGACAATGACTTGAGAGCTAGCACAGACAAACAATTTTGCAAAGAAGTGGGCGTTTTAGTGATCTCCAGACAAATGCGTTTCTGTCCCTTCTTTTCCTTCTCAAACCATAAACTAAAGTAGTGCGGACATTGGACCCCGATTCTTCTCCATATATACCCATTGCTGTAAATGAGTCAATTTATTCTATAACTACATGCAAATACAAGCAAATATCGTTGAATACAGCCATTGAATAACTTATGGTTGTGTTCAATGGCTTGGACACGTACTTCCTTTGTCCAGAATGAGGTCACTTCAGAATTACGTCAAACAGTAATGACCTCACCACTAGGCAACTACAATTTTTGTAAAACAGTAAGAAAAAAGGGCGGAACCTATGATGAATTCTTACGTTATTGGTGATGATTTCTTTTTTTGATAATCTGAATAGTATAGTGTATTTTGAGATTTTCATGTAGTTAAAGAATAAAGAACTCAATAACCATTGAATACCGGTCGAGTTATTCAATGGTTCACTCGAGGGTATCCCTGTCGCATTCCACTCGCTATCGTTCGTGGCATATTTGCGCAGGGATACACTCTCTTGAACCATTGAATAACCCGAGTGGTATTCAATGGTCATTGAATTCTATCTATAGCCCCACCTTTGCAAAATACATATTTGAAAACGATTGATTGTTGTAGGTACACCATGAGGAACTCTGATGTATATGCTATACTTCTTGACTGGCCGACTGGTTCAACATTAAGCTTAGGAGCCCCAATGACTCAGACTGGTACAACTGTCCAATTGTTGGGTTATTCTGGAAATTTTAAGTGGACAGCTCGTTCTGGTAAAGGAATTGACATCACGATTCCACCCATATCAGCCAGCAGTATTCCTTGTAAATGGGCATGGACATTAAAATTATCCGGATTAGCAAATATTTACTAAATAAATTGTAATGGAGTTACCATTGTCATTTTTTTTTATAATTTATATAATGACCTCAGTGGTGTCTCATTGTCAGCTAAGTTAGGCCAGAGTAATTTTCTTTCAATTGCCTTTAACCAAAATTCAGAATGGATGGAAATTATATGTAAAATAATTACAAACTAGATTCCAAGCAGCGATAAGGAAATAAATCTTTGTTGATCCATATAGCTGGACAACTTATTTGCATGACTAGATCATTATATGAGGGGTGTCCTAAACGTTTCCGGTCTCACACCACAACTCAATCAATCCGATCATGTTGCTAGAAAAATATATCCGAATGTGTGACCTGCAAAACATGAATTCCACGTGCTACGAATTCCTATATAGCTGTCAAACAGCACGGCCCTCTTATTTCCTCTCAAAATGAAGAACACGGAATGCAAACCCATGATTCTCTTGTAAGGCAAATTCATGATGACATTACATAAACATTAGGTGACAACCCCCTTTCATATAGTATAAAGAGTAGTGTGTTGAATTTAGAGAAGTCTGGATCAGCGCTGAAGACGAGCCACGTGACACGTGACGTAACCATCGAAGATAATGTTGATACTGTCCTGGATACAATAATGTAGTTAACTACTACACATGCCATTAGCAAAACACCAGCAGAACGAATTATCACTAAGAATTTACACTCAATCAAGGTTTCTATCCGTTGGATGAAATGAATGTTGACTCGCAAACAAAATCGTCAGAAAGTCGTTTAGTCCATAACTATTGGAGACAAAAAGTCAGAGATAACTCCTGGGTCGTAATAATGATAGACTATCCAAAGAAGGGCTCCACCATCACGCAGATATTGCAAAGGTTGTGTGATCAAATCAAAGAAAAGCGTCGAGGTGTCTGATGCTCAAGTTCACACCACTCAAGTAGCAGTGACCGCTGCACAGGACTTTACAATCTGTATAAAATCATTGAATGCGCCACTTTATAAGAAAAAAAAACATTTCACGACACAACATATACTTACACATCAGTGTACATGTCCACCGGCCAAACAAATAGCTAGACCCCCAAAAAGGCATTTTCACAGTGACTAGACCGGGGGCTCAGTGCAGGGGGTGTCCATTAAATGGGCACAAAACCAGACTCAACTTTTTTAGAGTAAAATTTTGCGTAGAATACGATGCCGTGTGGTAATCAGTCCGTCGTTGGGGCGTTTTCGAGATATTCGGGTCAAGGGTCAAAGGTCAAATGAGGTCATTTGCACTGAAAGTGAATGCGCAGCCATTCTTGTATCATGAAAACATGCTGAAAATCATCAAAAGTAATCAACCTTTCAATAAAAATGTTAACTTGCTAAATTCACCTTTGTTCTTTGTGACCCTGGAGGCCAAAAGGTCAAATTGTCCGTTTTTGCACTAGAAAGATTTAAAGCAATAAAATGTCAGCGTAAAATATTAAAACTAAAGCGAAACCTGTTCTAATTAATAAAAAGATCATTTAAAACTTATCTTTAGGTGGTACTAGAACCGTACATTTACTTTGGAATGTCGAAAAAGATCTTGCATAACAGAACCAAAACACCTCGAAACCTGTTTGTTGATTTATATAGGCGTTATTGTAGAGATAATTCTTTATCAATTAATAAATCTGGTTGGTTTCAGTCGAATTCCAGTCAAAAAAATGGGAGAATCCAAGGACTATCGATAGAAGTGTATGGGGTTACAGAAGGAACGCACAGTTGTCTAATTATTTGTCCATTGAGGAATTTATAGCAACCTCCATCGAAACTGTTGGGTATATGTATATATCATGTACTTAACATAGAGATGCCGTTAATATTAACACTGTCTGTGTTTCAGATCTCGGCAGTCTCCCTGTTGCTTGTGTAGTAATGTGGATGGGGGATTTGTGCTAAAGAACACATAAGTTTAATGGTATTATGGCCTTGATTAATTATTCTCTATTGCCAGTATATCAGCTATGGTATGAGTTTATTTTTATTTAAAACGCAAATTAAATTGTTTATGAAATATTGTGAGAATAACAGGAAAAGGGGTCTAAGTTCAAGGATAGATTCTATGTCTAAAAGCACGTGATTGGAAAGTTACCATTTCATATTTGGCATGAGGGACCAATCACACGATTAATTACATCATAATTGGCCAATTGAAGAATTAGTAGCGGGAATCTAGGAATATACAAGGAACTGGATTTGGGCGCTACGCTAGACAGCCATGTGGTTCTTGTAGGCAGTAGATGTAGGAATTTCCATCAGCAGACTCGCTGAGTCTGATTGGGAGCGGGTTAGAGAGAATGACTTTATTATAATGCTTGTAACTATGTAACCTATATGTAGCAGTGCTTAATATAAAAGGTAGAAAGGAAATGTGGTATGTGTTGTTCCTGTTGATGATATCCTTTAAGATGCAGTATATTCAATCACAACGTGAAGCTGTCATTAATTTGGGATGTCAGAGTGGCATTTAAAGATACGTCCTAACCAGTTAAGGTATTACATATGCGACCAGAAACCATACTAGACGATCATGTAGTAAGAAACAATGCATGAGTTATACGTTGGATGTGGCGATCGGTTTAGCGTCTTCCGCTTTCCACGTCTGACAGATGACCCATGGTGCTACACACGATAAAGTACATCAGATTTCTCAGCTTTGTTTCTATATGGGGCAGGGGCTAATTGACGAAAAACAGGGATTCCGGGGTAAGCCGTAAGCCCACTGTTCGGGCAAAATTTCCCTCGCAGGACACTACATGGTCTATTCCCGGTTTACTATCCCCGTTAATGCAAACAGTTGGGCGTTAAATCCCATTTCCTTTCCTTTCATTTACATGCTCTCATATATTTAGCGCATTATAAAATGCGAGTTGTAATTAAGTTAAAATGAGTGTTGTTATATTATAGTTGGGGTGGTAATATATTGATGAATGTTGGACCTACAAAAGAAGGAACTATTAGTCCCATATTTGAAGAGAGACTGAGAGATATTGGGTCGTGGTTAAACGTTAACGTTGAGGTTATCCGGTCAAGTGGTACGTGGGCAACACACAACGATACTTTGATCCCACGGGTGTGGTAAGTTAAATGTAATGCTATCTTGTGATACCTACGATTAAGATCTATTGTTCTTAATTTATATTTTTTATTGTGACTGGGAGTCTCTGTGTCGTATGGAAAGTATGCTTTCTTCTTCGGAAACAACTTAATTTGGTCTGCTCCCTTGGTAAAGTCCAGGTGACATTAACCTACTTTGTCTTTCGTATAATATGGATCTGTAGGCTGCCCTTTGGGATTAATGGACCAATAGTATACGGCATATTAAAAATCATTGTTAGTTAGTTAGGGATCTATTTTGTTTGGATTTGTAGTTTATGTCTTGTGTATTGTATGCATTTAGAAAGTTGGTATAAATGCAAAAAGAAATATTGAAAGATCAGAATGCAGATATGATCCAAGTCTATGTTATTCGTTCATTTCCTTCCCAAATTATGGCCTAATGTATCTTGAACCCCGATCTACTGTCGCTATATATTGTCATTGTTGTAAATGAATACATAAGTCGCCTGGCAACCTCCATTATAGAAATCAATACATGTGAAAAAGTATTGTAGGTACACCATGACGAAATCAGATGTTTATACTCTATTTCTTAACAGGCCGATTGGCTCAACATCAAGCTTAGAAGCGCCAATGCCTCAGACGGGTAAAACTATTCAACTACTGGTCTATACTAGAAACTTTACGTGGACAGCTCGTTCTGATAGAGGAATTGACATCACAATTCCACCCATATCATCAAATAAATTACCATATTCATGGCATTGTCTGCGATATCACCTCGGTGGAAGCGCACGTAAAATACAACTAACACACACATATTCATGGGCATGAACATTCATATCGTCAGGATTAACTTGTTTGATTTGGACCAATCGCCTAAGACGCGTGACTGCGAATTTGTTACTGTAAGATTACATGGCCATTGCTAGCGTTCATATAAGTACTATCATGAAAATGACAGAGTCAGGAGTAACATGGTCTGATGGCGAATGAACAGCTACAAATGCTTACTGTCAGTAAAAATATATCATAGATTTACACATTACTCTGGATTTGCTTTAGGCAACATGGTTGTCATCTAATCTATATTTTAACGTTTTATTTGCATCGGAATCAGTTAAAACTTTAATTGCAATTTGCACAGTGAAGAGGATAAGTACAATCATACACTGACTCTCGGTTATAAGAACCCTGGGACAGACAACTAGGCGCGCCCGGGGGTGGGGGGGGGCTTCATATTTGTGACGAAACAGATCTGCGATTAGCAAAAATATCGAAAGAGTCTAACGAAACGTAGACGAAGTAAAAGTTTCGCTTTCAGTTTCGTACACCATCATTGTAGGTTCTGCGACCCGCAGGCCCGGATACTCTAACGGTAACAAGGGCCTCAAACGGAATGAGAAAAGGATCGAGCAGGTAGCTGAAAGGGTTTATTCACCAATTTTTATACACCCACATTTTCACGTGGGCGTATATTGTCGTCGCCCCTATTGGTCTACAATTTGTTTGTAGACACTTTACAGGTCACAATTTTTATTAGATTTTGACGAAACTTACAATATTGTTCTATCTCCCAAAGATCTCGGTTCCTTTCGATAATGGCATATATCGGACCATAACTTCATGGATTATGGCCCCTGATTGTACGAAAAATCACGTTTTTAGCTTGTGGACACTCTAGATAAAACTTGAAATGCATGTTTATAATCCAAAGATCTTGGCTCCTTTCTATATTTGCGCAAATCCCCGGATCGTAACTTCCTGAATTATGGCCCTTGATTGTATGAAAAATCAGGTTTTTTAGCTTGTGGTCCCTCTAGAGGTCACAAATATTATCCGATTTAAATAATAAAAAAAACCGTTTGAATATATCACCGTTACACTGTAATGACGCCTGAGTTCGAATTTCTTGAAAATCTGATCAAAACTGAAGGACAAAATGGCTGCCGCTCGAACGCAAATGGTGTAAAAATATGATAAATGGTATATCAAAGTTGTGGACCCCCCCCCCCCTCCCCAGAGATCACAATTTTTATCCGATTTTGATGTTTATAGCCCATAGATCTGGGTTCCTTTCAAATTTCGTAAATATTGGATCAAAACTTCCTGAATTATGGCCCTTGATTGTACGAAAAATCATGTTTTTAGCTTGTGGTCACTCTAGAGGTAACAATTTTTATCTGATTTAAAAAACCGTTTGAATATATCACCATTACACCCTAATGATGGCTGAGTTCGAATTTCGTGAAAATCGGCCCAAAATTGCCGGACAAAATGCCCCCCCCCCCTCGTTCGCAAATAGTGTAAATATGGTATATCAAAGTTGTGGACCCCCCGACGCCACAAAATTTGATCTGATTTTGATGAAACTTAAAATGCCTGTTTATAACCCAAAAGGTCTTGATTCCTGTCGATATTCGTGTATATCGAATCGTAACTTCATGAATTATGGTACTTGATTGCACGAAAAACTGCTTTTTGTTTTTAGCTTGTTCTCTATCCATCTCTTGCAAAATGTGGGCGTTTCCTGTCTGGCATTCGCTGGTTCCAAAAGACGTGGACTGACAGAATCCGGTTCTAATAATCCTACCTACGTACCACTAAGTACCCACATTCAGAGTAGTCACTGAATTTCTTCTACTTTACGATTAAGTAACAGTATATTTTTTTTTATCAATTTATACCAACAAACGTGTGTTAAAACATTACTCGCTATACCTCTGGGACCCTCTGTGCTCTGGACCCCTGAACAAGTGTCCCAGCTGTATAACAGAATACAATACATGATATGACACTTGTCATTCGGGTATAATCTTAAATAGATTAAACACCAATTCATAATCTGGCTAGAAACATAACAATACACACACACATAAATGTATATATTAAAGCACACCGTATTTATAACATTAAAGTTTGTATATTTATAAGGTTTATATTTATAATCTTAATTCATTAATAATACTACATTTAACTAGCGTCTTCACTCCAACTAGGAGATCATTAGTATTTTAATAAATATTAACAATAATTGTATCAAGTCACATCAGTGTTATTTAATGGCTGGATTCTACTGTGAATTTAATGCTTTAGTCCAGATCATGTAACATATCAATGAAGTTTTATCTGGATTTGTGCAAGGAACTTTTTCCTGATGATTTTATATGATTGTAGAAATCGTGGCAAATTGGTAATGCTATTGTACCATAGTTCCTATAATTAACCTAAAGACAGTTTGACATGGGTGGGACCAACTTTGTGCCCTCCCTCCTCCCAGCCACCACTTTAATTTGGAAATAATATAGGATACCCCTGGAAAATATGTTGTTGGATGTCTCATTGTTGTATAAATTTAACAGTCAACTACCAAAAAAACCGAAAAAATAAATTTTCTCTATTGAGCGTCAAAACGTTTCTTTTAACACAAGCAAATCTAATAAGACGAATATCCTTTACACAAACCCATGCAAATAACAATTAGTATTAAAACTATTAAAACATTTATGATTGAGGTGTTTAATAAACACAAATTTAATGCATAATGACGTTACAAAAAATCCAGCGTGAATTCTGTCACATAAATAGTTATTACAAAATTTCACTCTAATAACACCCTATTTGATATATTCTATGGTACTGATTTTCTGGTAGCATATATTTTATAATGTTAATAGGGTGTTTAGAATATGTTTATCCTAATATATCTAAATTTGATTATATTCACACATTTCTCCTTTCTATTCTTAAATAAATACCATTTTCTGGACGAACAAAGCCCCCTTTGCTTAATTTAGGAGTTACCTGTAAATAAAAGAGAAGTATGCGATCATTTACTAAAATACGATAGGTATTGTGATAATTAACGGATATAGTTTGTATTCAGACTAAAAGAAGGCATTTAGTTAACATAATTCAATATTTTATTTGATATAAGAAAGCATTGTCTGGACCAATAAGGCTACCATTATGGTGATTGGATACAGATTGCAATCTACTAACTGTTGGGATGACTCTAAACTGCTAAACTAGTTTCACTGAATACAGATTATAGCCTACTACATTAATTTTAGACAGTTAAACGCATACTCTTGGAATACCGATTAATCTACTAACCAGATTAAGATCATTTAAACTGTTTAAAAAATAGGTTAAACACTGTGGCCTCTATCGGCAAAGTAGGGTAACAACTCCTGTACCTTAGAGTGCCCACAAGCTTTGTGCCAAAATGGAACTCATCTGAGATCTTTGGGTTATAAACATATTTTAAATTACACCAAAATCAGCGCGACGACATATTTTCAAAGTGGGTGTAAAAATTAATATTGATTGATTTTAATTAAAGTTATACCTCCGTTTCTGGTGATTGAATAAACCGGAAGTTCTGTAAGAGTGCCACAATCCCCATCTTCGTGACTAGATTAGCCAAACGCATACCAACGCAATTTCGAGGACCAAGGCCAAACGGCATATAAGCATATGGGTTTATTTTATCTTTATTTTCAGCTGAAAACCTGTGAATGTAAAATAATGTAAAAATAAGATGACTGGTTATGAAAACCATGGACTGTGTAGTATTTTCCCTAGTCCAACCTTAAATTTTGAGAGGCGCTAATATCTTTTTTCAAAATAATGATAGGAATCCTCCACTCTACACGTTGCATTGAATTTAGACGTAAAATAAAATCTAGCTCGTTGAAGTACTTGGTCAATATAGATCATAGGCTAACCAAAAATGTTATCATTAAACGAATTTGCTGAAATTTATTCATTCTATTTGGACTTATGTTTGATACATTTTGAAGGGGTGGGAATACCGGAATTTGCCTCTGCAAAACCATGGGATTATTCTGATAACGCAAATATCAACAGCGTAACAACATATATTTTTAAGATGTCCAATTACCTTTCTGGGACAAATTTATCAGGATCTTCCCAATGAGTTGGATCTCTGTGGATTGTATATATAGGTACAAGGATGATCATACCATTAGGGATATTATAACCATTTATATTGGTATCATTGTTGGCACGTCTATTTAACCTATATAAGATAAGTTATGTGTTTTATTGGTTTTTGCAGTAAGTCAATTACTTACAGTTTTCAAAAGTCATATTATAACATTAAACATTTTGTTCTAAATTTGAAGTCAAAGCACATAATACCTAACAAGATATTGTAGGTCTATGCATGTTGTGGTCACCGGGGTTTTAAAAACAAATTCATAAATGTTATTGTAAAAATTCATTAGCAACACTAGTTTGAAAGAGACACTCAAATATATATATTCGATATACCATCACTAGTACCCTAGACAAAACAGTTAGTTATCGCAAAGAGAACTTCCCAGAAACTCAACGTGGCTGATACCGCATTGGTGTGGTAGTCTTTGTTGTTCCAGAAAAATAAATATACCCAGCAGATAAGCATCAGATTTGCACTCAAAGGCAATTATTAACATGTCCAGGGTGAGTAAAAGCATACGCGAATCCAAGAAATTATTTGCCTACATAGTTTTTATAATAAATCTCTCCCAGATTCGGTTTGCAATTTTGACTAATCTAACTAGTTTTAGTTGGCAATCCGGCATTATAGCTTGGGATTTACGTACATAAACTATATTTGATTAAAATGGTATTTGATTCTAGCCTTACCTTGGGGCAGCCGGATACATTCGCATTGTTTCAGATATAATCATATCCATATAAGTTAAATTCTTTAAATTATCATAATTGGGGGCTTCCTGAAATAAAACCCAAACTTACTATGTGCGAGGAGCAACGGAAACATAAGTAAAAATGGAATGAGCGTACGGCAAACTCCAAATATTAAGTGTTCTTTCACATGCCCACCAAAGTGTTCACAGGTCCACATTTTTCTGTCTCATTCGAATGATTAGACGCTCTACGTTCTGTCCATGTACTACTGATATGGGAAAACCACACGGGCAAATCCAGAGGAACTTTCTCGGCCAACATCGTGATTGAACCCTGAAATCTCCTGGTTAGAAAGTCAGCACCTTACCCAATGAGCCACCGCGACATCAAATATTACCTGCCAGAAACCCGAGAGCATTTAGTCTACTGAGAATATTGGAGAATATCACGTAATTTTAATGCAATCTCATTGTCCACAATCATATGTATTTGTCATATTCAGCATTATCTGCACAGAATTAGAATTATCTTGGTTCTTGGTTCTTAGCAAAAATAAAATACTATAATATGTAATAATAGTAATAGTAGAAATTATCCAGGTTTTGGTTATTAGCAATTATAAAATATCATAATATATAACAGATTCTAAGAGTTTATAAAATAGCCAAACCATGGAACGAAAGGCAAAATAGAAGAATACGTGAAATGCAACAACGACGGCAAAAGAAACCCAAGTATATAAAATTAATTATATGCCAAATGTATGTGGAATTCCTAAGTGGCAATAATTATATCAAAAGCTCTACTTGATGTGGCACCTGAAGTTTCGGAAAAGTAGGCATACTCGGCCTCTCCTTATCCGTGCTCCCACCGTATAAATGACGCTAAGTGGACCCCCCCCCCCCCAAAAAAAAAAAAGCTGCTTTTCCCACAAACCTTTCCGATTTTCTGAGTTATCTCTTCAAAAGCTTTGTCTTGGGTCTCGGGGTGGGTGGCTAAACAATGCAACGCGAAGCCTAGGGTTATTGAAGTTGTGTCGAAACCAGCCATAATAAAGAATAAACTGTTGGCTAGGATTTCATCTTCTGTCATTTGTTTAGCAGATGCATTAGTGCTTTCTTTATGTGTTTTCAGCATCAGTTGAAGAAGATCTCGCTTGTTCTAAATCAAATAAAAATAAATCATGAACATAATATTTATAAAGATTTCGATTCGAAATTCACCTCTACCACAGTAAAATAAGACCGTATAACAGAAATTGTTAATAATGTTTCAATGGCATTTGGTAATTGAACTGAAATATACAGGTCAAAATTCTATGAAATACAATGTTTATTAATAAGTAACGTTTCGACTATATATGCTTATCTAGTCTCTATACAGCAATAAAGGGGTAAACGTATTCGACATAATAATGTGTGTGTTGAGTGAGTGAGTAGGTGGCAGGTCATTTATTTATTTCAGTAATTTGCGTAGGTGTCTTTAAAGTGGAAGAGCATTGTAAAAACCACGAGGTTGGGCAGGCCGGAACTTACCCAGTGGTCCACCTTAATCCAACAATCTTATTAATGATAGAATATTCAACAACATTAGGTACAAATTGAAAGAATTAAATAACAATGAATAAAAAGGGTCGATATCGGGGTGGGTTTATAGGATTAATACTGTCTTAGACGTATATAAGAATGACCGGCGTGTAATATAACTATTCTTACCGATGTTTCTTGTTTTCGTTCCTGTATAGCATGATGAACGGTGTCGGTAAAATATTTTACACAGTCTCTAGGCATATAACCCAAATTAAAATAATCACATATATCAGTCAATATAGGAAACATCACTGAAACAAGAACATTATTATATTATACAGACTACAGTTTACACGACCAATAACTTGTTAATCACATAATTGAATGAAATTGAATGTGTAAATAGTAAAGCTTGTATTTCCTCCAAAAGAATTAAAACACGAATTTATAACAAGATGTTATTAAGCAAATAGAAACCTGATATCGGAAATATATAAATTTTAGGATTTGACCATAATACTTTCACACTTTAAACTATACTTTATTCTAAGCCGTGGTGTGACTATTGTGAATATTGAACAGTACGTCAATTGGCGAACAACAACCAGAACAAGAAGATGAGTAGAGCTTAATTTACACTTCCACGTCCATTATTTTTTGTATCTTATACTTACAACACAATACAATTATAGGTGCTGAAAAATTAAACTGTAACGTTTTTTTAGCATTGACGAAGAAATCAAACTCTGGGTGTTTCTGGCAATCGGCATCGATACCAAACGCCGTGGCAGCAATAACATCCAAAGTATACGCTTGACATATTCTGTAGAGTAAAAACATCACTGACAATAAGAATGCGGATAAAAAAGGTACAGTGGATACAATTGCTGTCTTTCTCGCAATTTTAGGAGTTGATTTTAAGTCAGCTCTTAAAATTGGTTTAGCTCTACAGATCTAGAATGGGTGGTATTACTTACGATGTGGTTACTATAAATTGTATATTTAATTGTTAGGAGTTGCACTACTCCATTTGATGTGTTCCTTGAAAAATTATATAAGATCAGTCAAGAATGAAGTAAAATTCGAAAATAAAAGACGAGGTTACTATATTAGAATTTTCTTCGTGGATTTTCAAATCCCCGGAGGTTAATTATATACTTATTACCAGATCTACGGTGCGCCATCAATGAAAGCTTCTGTAAGATTATTCAATGACCATTACCCAACCAGAGTTGTTTTCATGTATTTCTAGTAATATATTTAAATGTCCGCTGTTTAACAAGGGGGTGGGGAGGGGGATAAGTTTAGCAGCATTATAGAATACTCACTCATCCAGTTTCACTGATTTTATGGGGTCCACCTTTTCATCAAAACTATCCACCATATTGCCAACGCACATGTTAATGAGAGAAGACATCTGAAATTAAAGGGAAATTATATATAACATTACAATTTTATTTCCAAATATTGTCGTGGATAATAAATGGTTCCAAATCACTATTAAAAGTTTACACCAAGTAAAAGAAAATTTAACACAAACAGCTGTTATATCGTGTTTATTACTGTGGTCAATGAAAGACTGACATTGAAATTATGATTCTAAGATTATATGCCCAAGTAATCGACAAAATACACGTGATTATTATTAGTCCCACCACAGTTTACCCAAGAAGGAACCTTTACATTTCGTTTGGTCTTGGGGTAAGCGTTTCGCAAATTCCATCAACAATACAAATGGATATAAATATATTCTTACATCTCTCATTTTACCGGAACTAAATGTTGGACTAATCACACTGCGCATTGCTCTCCATTCATTATCTTCAACGTTAGCGACGGCCCTCTTCATTATATTGACATTAGGTACAAATTGCTATAAATATAAAAAAAAAGGTACACATTAATATTATAGAACACTGTTTTGTCATTAACCATGCAGTAATCAACCACATTCAAAGGCTATTGAAGTCAAGCAATCCATATGCCGTGGGCTATACTATAAGGGAAAAAGTTCCCCCGACAGCGGTTTAATACTCTTCAAATTCTAACTGCCAATCTGAAAACGGTACCTTCGTTTTTCATACCAGTTGAACCACTATGGAAATCTAGCCATGGAACACATCTGATTCAATATGGATGGTAAATATCAATTGCGACCCAATTTACAATAAAATGTTTCAATACACGGGTGATTGTGTGTGTAATTGCCTTCATAGTAGCCACCGTAACCACGATTATATTACATTATACACCTGGATATATCCTAACAATACAAATAAACGACGTTTATACTCACATTTCTGTTAACAAAATTAGAAAATTCCTGAACAAATATCTGTTTGATCAGCCCCGTATCAGATATCAACATCGCGGGAAGACGTCCAATGAAAATACTGTAAATATATATTATGAAATATGAATGTTTAATGCAAACTGAACTTAATAATATTGCCGTATTTTGTATATAATGAAGATCTTAGTGAATCAAGCTGGACAGTGCAAATCTCTCAATGATAATCGGGAGACTTGGCAAAGTATACCAGAACACTATGGATACAACGTCAACTCGAGTAGGAACTTGGTTTCGCAATTAAACACAGATTATGCAAGAGCTAAATCTGCCAATTGCAGATCTTTCTTTAGGCATGAAATGTTATCTAAATTACTAATTAGACATAATTTACTTATCCAGACCATAATCAACTCTCGATGGCATCGCTAGCCTGTGATATTTACTGGATTATGATCCCATTTGCTGCTCGACTTCGATTCATAATTTAATCATGAAATGGATGATCGAGACTATGTTTTTTTTATCGTACCGTACAAACTTTAGTAATGATGATCGAGGCTAGGCCGAAATTTCAATCGCTTAATTCTAGGTTCATAGCAGATCAATTTGACTGAAATTTTCTGCAAAGTGCCTTTACATTATCTAGTTTTGAACTATTATAGTGAGAACTGCATCTTATCCCCCATAATGTATCTTTAAATGAATTCTGGTATTGTTTTGATTAATCAAAAACACAAGGCGACGTTGCATATAAATGTTCAGTTAAGATTGTTAGATGACGTTGGAGGTAACCTTTATTACTTTATTAAAACACATATTGAATGCACATACCCGGAAACTGGACCGTATTTCTTTGTTACTTCCAAATCAAGCTCAATTATACCCTAAAATATATAAAATGGACCCAGACTAGTAACCTTGCAGAGCCCAATACGTCACAGTCATCTGAAAAAATTATTGAATGTAGTTCAACTATCTCGATTGGTTTATCTACCCCAGTCAAAGGAATCTATATGTTGTGACGTCATTTTCCAATATGAATTCTCCAAGTAATGTCTATTTACCTTCTGATCCTAATATTCACCAAACCTGGTAGAAAATGCAAATTCAATCCTTGTTCTTTGATTCAAGACCAGCGGGGAGAATAAAGAATTGCAATAAACAATCATGTATACCCCAGTTTATTTTCATTACCAATAAAACGCAAAGGCGGGAACGGGAGGCAGTCGACTGAACTTGAGTCCGATCTTCGTCGCATCAAAGACCCGACTCGACTTGAAATATTTATCGCGACTCAGTCACGTTTGAGAGGCTAGGACAGTAATGGGGAGGGGGGGGGGGGCGAAAAGAAATTTATCGCCTCCCTCTTCCAGATTTAAGGCACCGTCGTGCCTGTTGAGATTCAGTGTCGTAGAAGCCCAGTGTTAGATTCTTGTTATTATATACCCAGGTTTATTTGTGTTACCATACAAAGTTAAATTTTGTATGTCCGAAGTCTACTTCCAAGAGACCTGCCAAATAATTGAAGAAAAGATGATATTTGGAATAAATGGTGTCGCGTTATCTTTAAGTACTATACACTACTGGGTATAAAACAGATACTCCAATAACTTTTTTTTGACAGAGTATATTGATTTCGTAAAGAGTTTTAAAGAACACGATGTATATTCAGCGTAAATTGTGTCTGAAAAGCTATAAATAATATCTCTGTTTTTCAGTGTCAGCTTGTCCAATCAGTGGCTGCCAGGCGGGATATGCGCACATTTTGCTAGAGATGGATAGGGAACAAGCTAAAATATAAGCACGATTTTTCGTACAATCAGGGGCCATAATCCAAGAAGTTATGGCCTGAAATGTGCAAATATCGAAAGGAATTGAGATCTGTGGGATATTAAGATATATTTTAAGTTTCATACAAATCAGACAAATATTGGGACCTCTATAGGGTCCACAACCTTCGTATTACATACATAGGGCGTAACAGTGATACATTTAAACATTTATTTTTAAATCGGATCAAAACTGTGGCCTCTAGCGGGTCCACAACTTTGATATACCATATTCTGACACTATTTGCGTACGAGGGACGGCCATTTTGTCCGGCAGCTTTGGTCTGATTTTCACGAAATTCAACCTCAAACACCATTACGATGTAACGATATATTCAAACGTTTTTTTTAGATTCGGATAAAAATTGTGACCTCTAGAGGGACTACTATCTAAAAACGTGATTTTTTGCACAATCATGAGCCATAATTCAGGAAGTCGCGATCCGATATCGCAATGAACCAAGATCTTTGGGTTATAAACATATATATCAGTTTCATCAAAATCGGATTAAAATTGTGACCTCTGGAGGGTCAACAACTTTGATATACCATTTATTTACGCTATTTGTGTACGAAGGGCGGTCATTTTGTTCAGCAGTTTTGATCCAATTTTCACTAAATTCGATCAAGGGCCATAATTCAGGAAGTTACGATCCGATTTGCGCGAATATCGGACGAAACCAGGATCTTTGGGTTATAAACACATGTATTTCAAGTTTCAGCAAAATCAGATGAACATTGTGACATCTTGAGTGTCCACAAACTAAACACATGATTTTTAGGGGGCCATAATCCATGAAGTTTCGTTCTCATACATGCTAGTATCGAAAGCAACCGAGATCTGTTGGAGATAAACCTGTATTTCAAGTTTCACCAAAATCGGATAAGAATTGTGACCCGTAGAAGAATGTCCACAAAGAATTGTGGGCGGACAAACGGATGGACAGACGGACAATATACGTCCATTGCGCTAAAGGTTCACGTGGAGGAGGTGTAACACTTATATTTAAGCCATCTATTAAAGGAAGAAAATCCGTTATGAACGTTTTGATTCTTTTGAAATTTCGGATTGTTCTCTACAGTTTATTACAATTTACCGCCCGCTCAATAGCAATTTTTGTCTAAAGTTTATGGAAGAATTTGGATTAATTCTGGACCAGTTGATTATGGCTAAGTGTTGCACTATTATTTTGGGGTGTGGGGTTAATTTTCATGTTGATGAATCCAATGACTCTACCGCGGTTGATTTTTGTGAAATGTTGAATAATAGATCTCTCAACATGTTTCTTCTTTCAATTTATCAAAATTGCAACTTGGGAACTGTATTAGTGAAATTAGAAAATGGATGTCAAATAATTTACTAAAATTGAATGATGAAAAAACCGAATATTTGTTATTAGGCTCAAGGCATCAATTAATTAAGTAACTCTGCACTTGATAACCCCCTATGTTGTAATTGATAATTGTGATATATTTCCATCTTATTCTGCTCGTAAAATTGGTGCAATCTTTGATGAAATGAAATGAAATGGGGTTTAACGTCCTACTGTTCTGCTCGTATGCTGGGCTAATGAAGACGGGCATACGCCATACAGTGTGCTATGAGGGAAATTTTGCCCGGGCAGCGGCACTATCGCCTGCTCTTATATAGAATTCCAACTGCCAAGGGATCTTTTACGTGCATTCTAATGTATATACGGGACCTCGGTTTTTTGTATCATCCGAAGGACTAGACAGCTGTCCTTGTCAGGCCCTCCGTCCTGCATCACTGACAAGGGGGAACCACGCAATCTTTGATAGTTTTATTCTTATGAGAGCTCAAGTAAATAATATATGTAAATTGTGCTATTTTAATATCAGAAATATAGGTAAAATACGTAAATTTTAACTGTAGAGGCCACTAGGTCATTTGTTAATTCTCTGGTTACTTCTCGATTAGATAACTTTAATTCACTTTTAGTTGGGTTATCTTTAAAGCTTATAGATAAATTACAAAAAGTACAGACTACTGCATCTAGACTTGTTACTTTAACTAAGAAATGCGACCACATAACTCCTGTTTTATATAATTTACACTGGTTACCTGTTAAATATCGAATTGATTTAAAGATTTGATTACTTATTTTTAAATGTTTAAATAATTTAGCTCCTGTTTACCTCTCAGATCTTTTAGAACTTTATACACCTGGCCGAACATTACTTACATCAGATAAACTACTTTTAAAGCCCAAAACTGTTCAACTTGTCTCTTATGGTCAGCGCTCTTTTAGTTATCAAGCACCTGTTTTATGGAATAATCTACAATTTAGTTTAAGATGATGTACATCTCTATATTCTTTTAAAAAAACAACTTAAAACACATTTATTTAATCAGGCTTTTAACTGAATCTGTATACAATCGTTAACATGTCCATAATCTTGTTGTTTATTTATGATTATATTGTCACATCGTAAAGTGCCCATGAACATGTTATATGAATGGGCACACTATATGATGTAATAATAAAATAATATAATAATGATAATGTGGGCGTATAAAAATGATTTCAAATTATTCAAGGGAGGTAACCGAGTTTACGGAACTCAGAACATTAGGACTAAGGCTGTGGTTTTCGATGAAAGTGTTAAAAAGTCTAATATTGCATCATGATTACTGTTTTAAGGTATTTTCGTGTTTGATTTATATTGAATTTGTCTCATCTTTTCACAGAATGCATTTGTGTTCAAAAATAAAAATGTTGTGTGGAATTCAAAATTCATGTGCTTTTAAATTTCTGTCTGAAATTCCGCAGTTTTCTGATGTATTATAGTGTTTGCAGAATGCCGCACTGCTCATCTGAAAATGCATGGATTATCATAATCTTTCGCCAGGGCATTGCATATGTTTGTATATAAGATAACAGCAGATTTGTTCAGACAGCAGCAACATGTGAGGTATACAGGACTCAGACTAGTAATTATTTGTAGTGCGAGTTATAAATAGACAATTTTGCCCTTAATTTTTTTCTCCCCTCTTCCTGCATTTTTTGGTTGACTTTTTTATCTAGAATTGGAGAAAAGGGATCAAATTTTAATTTGCAATTTCATAGCAGTTTTGGGTAATACTGATGATATTACAGCGGAGGAATAGGGGTGTAAAATGTCTTTCTGCGGAGCAATTATTGTGTCGGATTGGTCATTCTGGTTGACTTTTTAGTCTGAACTCGAAGAATTGGTGTTGAAAAGTGACATTTTCTGCAAGGTGTTGGTAAATATTTACGGTTTTGGGGTGGAAGTATAACTAAGAGTGTTTGTACACTGGTCAACCCCATACAAACTTTGGAGAGCAATGTCATAGTTAGTTTCCCCTTGTCTGTTGGGAAATAAATACAACAAATTCAGCAAATGGTAAATTTTCCAAAATACTTTCAAATTTGTTTGGGAAATCTTGTGATTTTAAGTTTTAAATTAATTTTCAAAATGAGGGGGATATATTTGAATGTACATCTTTAGCCTTTTTTCTGCATCACAAAGGTAGGATAAGGAGCAAAATACCATAAATTCACTCAAATTTTTATAAAAAGATTATTCGAAGTACTCCGAAATTATCCAGATTACCCCTAAAATTGTTGTCAAAATGCAAACTTTCATCTGTTGTAACACAATTTTAATATGTTAAAACCTGCAATTCTTGCATTTCTCTCCTTAGGAAATTAAAATCTATATGTTTGCAGACGAATTACTGCACCTTCCTATCATTACGATGTTTTTAGGCTTGATGTTCTACATGTTTGGTGTAAATATATACTCATCCAAATTAAAAACTTGACACTCGGGATTTTTGGGACTAGATTTTTAATATTTGGTTTAAGGCAACTATTTTAGTGTTATGTTGTGCACAGACGACCTTGACATCAACAGAAAGCAAGAATACGTCTCGCCGAAAGTCCTTGACATTGATAACGTTCGTGATGTCACAGTACCCCCCAAAATGAAATTCACAGACTTGGAGAACAATCGGAATAAAGTGTTTAGTATCGGTTGTGGCCTCCTCTAGCGTCTCGTACTGCCACACAACGTCTTCTCATGGATCTCAGAACATTAGTAAACACTACCCGAGGAAGACGTCGCCACTGCTCAGCAAGAGCATGCTGAAGGTCCTGCAACGTCAGTGGTGGATTCACTTGCTGACGAACACGTCGACCCAGTTCGTCCCAGATGTGTTCAAAAGGATTAAGGTCGGGGCTAAGCGACGGCCAGTCCAGGACTTGGACACCGGCATTTCTTAAAAAATTCTGGGTAGCAATTGCTGTATGGGGTCGAGCATTGTCTTGTTGAAACGTTAGTCCAGGCCCATGTCTCTGCATAAACGGAAGAAGAACAGGTTGCAAAATCTGATCCCTGTACTGGACAGCATTTAAGTTCCCTTGGACAACAACAAAAGGAGAACGTCCATGTGCACAAAAAGAACCCAAACCATGACGCTGCCGCCACCAAATCGGTCAACTTCTCTGACGCATACTTGAGCGTAAGGTTCACCTCGTCTGCGGTACACTCGGACCCTGCCATCGGCAAATCTCAAAGTGAATTGAGATTCGTCACTAAAGACAACCGCATTCCACTGTCTTTGAGTAAATCTTATGTGTCTTGTGGCCCACACAAGTCGGTTACGGCGATTAAGAGGTGTCAATATTGGTCCATTATAGGGCCTCCGAGCTCGAAGACCAGCAGCCTGCAAGTGATTTCGAACTGTTTGTGCAGTTACTCTTCCACCAAACATCTCTCTACTTGTGGAGGTTGCAGTGACAAATCTGTTTCTAAGATGACGTAATCGTATTGCTTGATCTTCCTGGAGTGACGTCACACGTGGCGCTCCCGCCCTCGGGCGGTCGGCAATAGTTCCAGTTTGAAGCACTCTCATTCTAAGATTAATTATCGTCTGGCGTGAACAATTAAAGGCTCATGCAACAGTGACCACAGACTGACCAGCATAGAGCCTACCTATAGCACGTAGACGTTCTACATTTGGAAGGCGCGGCATTTTCTAACAAAGATGAAAATAACAATTTTAATTTGTTTTTCCAGTTCAAGTTACGTGTGCGTGTTCAGTTTAAGCAAACTTGCATCGATTGACCTCACGAGTTTTTCAGGTTTTTCATCTTTATATGCTCAAAAGTCACGTGATCCACGTGACTTTACAATTTTATGAAATTAAAGGCTTCTTACTACTTACTATCGTTAGAAACACTTTAAAATTTATTTGACTTAGCAGAAAAAAAATTTTGTTGAAATTCACCAGTGTCAAGTTTTTAATTTGGCTGAGTATATTATTTGTAGAGACACTTTCTGATGTGGTTCTTTCAGAGCAATACAATATTAATTACTTTCTTTATCAGACACCTATCAAGCTGTACTGACCTCAGGCATCACTGCTTTTATCTTATTCATCTTATCCGGAAATTGAGGTGAAGATTTCAACAACTTCCACAAAATAATTACACCACAAATTTCCATGCTACCTCTAATGTTTGAAATGTTTCAAACACATAATTATTCCTAATTTTATAAATATTAAATACTTTATGCTACCTCTAATGTTTGAAATGTTTCAAACACATAATTATTCCTAATTTTATAAATATTAAATACTTTATGACCCTTTAGTAGAGTGGTTGATTATCACCTATTACATCATTTTGTTTACAGTTATCAGTCCATATTTTAATTAATAATTCATAATTTTTGCAAGTACCTGTAAATCATTGCTATTAGTCATATCCCCGTAAGAGCATTAGTTATGCATGCAAAGGTTACATTTAGGGGTAGGCATACAAAAATCAGTATAATGCCCCACAATTACTTTCAATGAAATCAATTTGCAATGTATCAGTTTGTATAGTTCTTTCGTCGTGGATTTTTGGTCCTTTCCTTCCTTACATAAATTCAAAAATATTTTAACGAACACCAAACGTAATTTATAATCAATTTGGGAAAATATCTATACCAAAGTATGAAATTACGTAATCAATTAATAAACACCCAATAATAAAATAAACACCTATTGGGAACTTTTTTTGTATATACCTTTGTATCATTTTCGTGGCATGTATATATATATTGAAACTACTTTATATACATATATTATATTTTTTAATTATTTATTTATTTTTTCTTCTATTATAATTATATTACTTATAATCATTATCTGTTGTGCAATAATCACCCAATATATTCTATGTACCTATGTTGGCTGTAGAAAGTGTTTTGCTTTGCATTGTAATAAAGTAAAGTAAAGTGTCCAAAGTTTCTAGAAATATATGCCTTACAAGTTTCAATATACTTTCAATAAATTAATTTACAATTTATCTGCTTGTATACTATCCAACGTTTCTAGAAATATATGACTGTTATCTGTATTGGCATTTTGAGAGATACAGAGTGTAAAAAATGGACCATTTGGCATGAAATGTTAAAAGAAAGTAATTTTTCGAAAAGTATTCACATATTTTAAATACGTTTCATAGGATCTAAATGAAACTTTTAACTCTTAAAAGCTTCTTGCAGAACTGTGATTTTTACAAATTTAAGAACAAATATTAAATTCGAAACAAGGTGTAGCCGGTTTAAAAAAAACGGTTTGAAGTGTCACCAGGTTTTGATTTAGAGATAGAAGGATAACAGAGCTAAAAGGTTGTGGATCTCAGTTTTCACCAGTCAACTTCATACAAACTTTGGAGCATAGACATGGTCAGTTGTGGTGGAAAGCGTTCAAAATGTAGCCCAACGAAAATGTAGGAAAAAGGATGAGTCGAACAAAAAGACCCGAATTAACATTAAAATCAGTGGGGAAAATAATGGTGGTCTGTTTTTCGAATGTAATAGTCTTTTGCATGATCTCTATTCTAGCTCTCTAACTAACTGTCTCCAATTCATCCAAAACTCTGCTGCGCGACTCATAACGCGCACTCATAATGAGCACATAACTCCAATTCTTCACGACCTGCACTGCAGTTACCTATACACAGGCAAACTGAATTCAGAATTCTCATTTTCACTTGTAAATGTCTCAGTCAGTTAGAAACACCCTATCTTTTTGATTTTGTAACATTGACTCCCGCAGAGGCGGTCTTCTCATCAACCAAGGTCCTTATTTTGAGCCTACGGGATCGCTCTTCAAAGTGACTTACTGTTGAACCCACTCCCCCTTTCTATTGGCACTGCTTCGCCCTTCGACTCCATCAAAATACAACTCAAAACACTAACACTAGTATTGCTTTTAATTTTTACCTCCTATTAAATGTATTTTTTTTTACTACTCGGTGATATTGCCTTTTATATGTAATGTGTATAAAAAGAAATGAAGCATACAACTTATTATTTCTGATGAAAGCTAAGCTGTAACTACTAAAGTACAATCAGGAACAACGGTTTTCTGTTGGACAAAGAAAGCTATAGTAGATGCAAACATAAATGGAGAGGCCTACCTTTTCAGCATGGAGTGGTAACATACCCATTAGACCAGGAGTAGGACCTGGGATACCCATCTTCTTGAAGATTGTATGTGTCCATGTTGTATATCTGTAAAATATATCGTGGCTTATTAATTACCTGCATATAACTTTTCTTATTATCCGTTTTCCCTTTTAACTTATATATTGTTTTGAATTTTAATTGTTTTTCAGACATGTGCATTTTATGATGCAAAGGCCTATAAGTGTACCGAATCGGTAATTAAAGGCCTGTGATATACAACCCCAAATTAACCAAGTTTCCAGGTGATTCCAACAATAATGACACGTATATGGGAGAAACATCAAAGAAAAAAGGGCGATGTCAGTCTGCAAGACGATATCATTATTGTCAAAAATCCTGACAAGCTAGGCACTTTGCCCTCATACCTCCCACCAACTTTCTAGACAGATTCCTCGTGCAAACCTTGAAAATATAGAGTTAGCCTTCATTGTTGGAGGACGTTATGGACGTGAATGGTTCTTTCTAAGAAGATTTATGAAAGTTTCTAAAGCAAGACACACATGAAACAAAACTATCCCACGCTTAGCTAAATTAAATTACTATGGTTCGCTTTATTGAGATTGAACGGGTTTTACTTGTAGTGCATGCATCTTAGGGATAGGTCCCACTGGGCATTTTTTGCCTCGGCGATTTACTGTCGATAGAAATTGATGAGCCTCGGGAGGCGTCGGAACCCCGGTGTCCCGGGGAAGCTTCGGGAGCTTCGCAAGTCACGTGGATCAAACGGGAGGCCCCGAGAGAACTGCGAAAAATTGCATTAATGTGTTCCTGACGTTTTACCGGGAAAACAGGCAATCAGCGCTATGGAAAGAATGCACTTTTCAAACGTCGCCGAAATTTTGGCGAATATTCGGTGATGCAACCCAGTGATCAGAAATGTGTCACCGAAAGGTCATCCCATGGTCGCTGAACATTCGCCGGGAATTCAAATATCATAGAAGGTCCCCTGATACTTCTTCGAGAGATGGCCGCTGATCAGGGGATGCCGCGGGGTGGGGGGCTATTTCCCGGAAGATCCAGGGAAACATTCCCGAGCTTGCACGTGGATTTGGAAAGCCCCGAGGACACCTCCTCAGAAAAAATTTCAATGCAATATATTTCACAGTTGTCCTGGGGCCTTCTGATGGTTCCTCATGTCTCCCGAGGCTCATCATTTTCCATCAGTAGTATATCGCCGAGACAATAAATGCCCAATGGGGCCGATCCATAAGTGCAGCCGATATGCCACCACGCAAGGGACTGAGATGTGCATATACAAATACGTCCGCCCCGCAATAACCCTTCCCAGGGACACCTACGATGGTTTGCAGATACTTACCGATGCATCCCCAAATCTACGGGATCGGCGAAGGTACACCGGAGCTTTCCCGGGCATCGGGAACCATGATGATTCACGACAACTGTTCGGGGCCATTTCCAGAAGATTTATGAACGTTTACCTGGGGCAAAAATATCGGGAGCATCGGGGACCATCGGGAGACAATGTATCGCCGATGCTTTTTACCCCGTAGGACCTAGGCATAACCGCGGACTGTGGTCTTATGCCGCATTTAAGTTCATAATTCGAAATAATATATATTTTTATTTAAAATATGATCCCCATAAATAGTTGTGACATGAGTTCATTAATTTTATAAGACATTGTGTCCAGCAATATCAAAATCGTCTATCTGGACCGATTGGAGAAATTTTAATAAAGTAACATCGTCTGCTAAAAATTACTCGGTGGATATTTTGTCTAATAATATCATTATTTACATTTTTTAATTTTTATGCGATTAATTTATACTTCCATCTTATTTTTTAAATAATAAACAGAAGCAAAATTTTATTCGTTCCGTTATATTAACGCGATATTAAAAGTGTGATACCTGGAATAGAACGAAACTAGGTCAATTGCTCGCCATCAAGCGTACCTTCGTTTATATTAAATCTGTACCCTTACAATTCGGAGTAAAGTGAGCATTATTTTCAAATATCACTTACATATATGCCGCTGCCACCAAAATAACCACCAGAATGATCAGACTGAGTGGCACAGTTATCCAAATCGGCAAACTCTCGATTTTAAACATGATCGCGTTTACTCTTCTTTTGCTTTCTCTTCGGTTGGTCACAAATTTAGGATTTATATATCCAAAAATACATTTGTGCAATAAAAGAGTAAATAAACGACATCTATGTTTCAGTGTGATGGTGCAATAGTCTTCGTGTTGTGTGATAAACTAGTTGCCCGTAACCCTTATTGTATTACACGTGCACAAAGTATAGTTTTTAAAAAGAGGATTTCGGCCCATATTGCACAAGTTGCCCTTTTCTCTTTTATATTAACTTTTATATATTACTGCAAGGATTGCAAACATTATTAATATCATCTACTTTCGAATAAAAAGATAAAATAAAAAAAGAGATTAAACATGCATTATGCAAGAGCTAAATCTGCCTATTGTAGGTCTTTCTTTAGGCCATAACTCTCGATGCCATCGTTAGCCTGCGATCTTTTATATTAGTGGATTTAAATACATTTTGTGACTGTGATGTACAACTTAACGAAAAAAAAAAGGATAATCGAGTCTTTGTTAATTATAGAACCAACATTAGTAATAATGATCGGGGCTAGCCCAAAATTGAATTGTTAATATCTTGGTTCAGAGTGAAGCAGTTTGGCTGAAATTTTCAACATTTTTTTGTTCATAATCTATTTTGTAACTATTATAGCGTGAACTGTCATCTCCTTATCTAATCTTTCCTAATGCGCCTTTAAAAGAAAACCGGCAGAAAAATATAATTAAATGAAAAAAAAATGTGTTTGGCTCTTGTTATGTTTTAGAATCAACTCGACCTTGGGGATGCGAATTAAGACCGTAATGCAACTAACATCGCAGTTCGGTTCAGAAGCGACGTATCCTTCAGTTTTTGCAAGTAAAATGACAGGCACATACAAAGCCCAGTAATACTAAGCCAATAAGAAGATTTTGTAAATAAAGAAATACAAAATAATAAATAATGAAAAAATGTGAAACAACATGTGTAATATTATTACTGTGGCACTAGGTAGTGTCATATATATAAATTAGATTTGCAACCCCATCGTGTGACGTGGTGACCCAAACAGTTTTGTTGGCACAGGGTCGTTTTTCCAGGAGATCCAGAGAGTGGTACATATATATTACTTTCTGGTTGCCGTGACTAAAAGGGTGTATTGAGTTTCTCGGTGTCTATTTATATCTGATCCCAGCATTGGCCGAGAAAGTTCATCCAGATTTTCCGGCGTGGTTCCCCCTTGTCAGTGAGGCAGGACGGAGGGCCTGACAAGGACAGCTGTCTAGTCGTTTGGATGGGACGAAAAACCGAGGTCCTGTGTACACATTGGCTTGCACGTAAAATATCCCTTGACAGTTGGAATTCGATAAAAGAGTAGGCCGTAGTGCCGCTGTCCGGGGAAAATTTCCCTCATAGCATATCTTCATTAGTCCAGTTCGGAGCAGATCAGTTGGGCGTTAAACCCCATTTCATTTCATTTCTATTTATATCTTAAGAAACTTAACATTCTTATGTACAACCATAGACTAATTATAATTCCACTCAACGCATTGTCTCGTGCTTTTTATTCAGGACTTGCACATGTTATTTTGTATTGTTAATCTTAAAGTATTGAGTACTCTTAAGTAAGACCGATATTAATGCATGTGTGGTGTACACAACAATGGCTATAAGCAATGAGAAGCTTGGATATTGTCTAGCTAGTACTTATTTGACATGATCAAACACACAGCTTATGTTACCATATGTGTACAAAGCACACACTGATCAACGTACATTAAATATTGTATAAATGGAGCACGAACGATTGAACAAGGTCAAACAGGACCTGTTATCAAGCTAGTGTGACAACTATGATATTTTAGACACGACCTTTCCCTGTCTGCATGTAGTAATAAACGGATAACTTTTCGTCAGACGGTTTATTCGTTATAAATACACTTTTTCTACCGTAATGTTTTAAATCATCAGTGAATCATGGAGTTTGTAAATGGATTAAAGGTGCCGGCATGGGTGGTAGTTTCTCTTTCGTCTATAGTTTCAATTTATATGTAAGTAGGCTGTCGTATATACAATTTGTCCCATATCAATAATGATAACAGTCTATATGTCGGTCAATCATTTTACGTTGAATGAATTATTTTACATCTTCACTTCAAAGGTTTTTTTTTCTGTTCATTCATATGGTGCATAAATTATGAACATGTATATTCGCCTGTGTATAATATATTCTATATATATATAGTATACGTAGTATACAGTGTACTGTTTCGCATAAATTTTTACTATCCAGTATCCTTACTGTATGAGTAAATGTTAACATCATATTGGAAAAGCATATTTTACTCCGGGGTAACCTGTTACATCCCTTCGATTTAACGTTCTTTTTTTTCATAAATAATCTGTAGACGTAATTTGTTTTTCGTCCTTTGCGGGTTTAGATTTTTATAGTTAGATTTACCTTGGGACTGCATCATTAACGATGTATGTAAATATAGCTCAGTACTTCAGTACATGTAAACTTGGGAACAGCATAGACTTTCTGCACGGTTACATTTCAATATTTTGTAAAATCTACAGATTGGTATTTCGGCCACTCTTTATGTATTTTATTAACCCAGTCGACACAGAAAAAGTAGGACTTTAAATCCATATAATTTCAGGTTTTTGTATAAAACAATATTATAGTATTATAAAATATTCTTTTACTGAATCATATACAACACATTCTTGTCCTAAAATGTACGGTTATATTAATGTGTTTCCGGGTAAGATGAGAAATAAATTATAGGGTGTCAGATGTCTCCTGGACGACCCCCATCTGAACGTTTTTTTACATCTTTCCTCTCCACTTGATAAAATGAATGTATTGAGTTTTGAAATGATTGTACCTTCCTCAATTTTCTTAATAGATTTTCAACATGGCCATATTCACTATTCAAATCCTTGAAAATACCTGGACCAAAACCTATACCATTTTTCGGGAATCTCCTTACATTAACCAAACAGGTACAGTATCATCGTATATTTACTTTAAAATTTGAGTAATTTAGTGATTATGCATTATACATTTTATACCCAATTGTATCTCTGTGATGTCCATTTTATTACACAATCCACTGCACTGGTGACGCTGCCGCCCGTATATGGGATCCGAGGTCATCTACTAGCCAGTTGGGATTTTTCAGCGTGGTTTCCCCTTGTCAGTGCTGCGTGGCGGAGTGTATGTCAAGTCGTTCGGAATGGACAGAAAAAAACACCCCGCTATGGCACATTGCTTACAGAAAAGTAGGACGTTAAACAATTTCACTAGCTAGTTGGCATAGGCTTCTGAAATCCTGGTCCAAACCAATGTTACAGATAGCTATAAATATGCTTGCTCTATCTATAACACCACATACCTTTTTCATGAAGAGTTCTGGATATAACTAACAAACTTATGTAGTATTGTTATGTATAATGACAGGTTGTATTGATTTAGATCGTCATGTTTCCAGATGTAACGTGAAGTTCGCCGTTATGTCAAAACGATAAAAACACGACGTTCGGCGACATGTTGGCGTGCTGGCTTGTTTGCCGATATCGTAAACTGTTCACATATCGTGGACTTTCTCGGCAGCATTTCATTTTACTGCCGTAACAGCGATTTTTATCTCGTAAGTGACAGGACGTCTTCACTCTCCTGTGCATTTATTAATGATACAACGAATGAATGTAAACGTATTTAAAGATTATTTTATGGTACATTTGTAGGGGTTTCATACAGTACATCAAAACTGGACGAGACAATATGGTAAAGTCGTAGGGTGAGTCATATTTTTCGGTCTATGTGCTTTCTTGTATTACTCATGCTGGCAGTACAAACAGAGATCCTTAAAGTTGCGAATTTTGTTTATTTATCTAATGATTGTTTATTGTTGACGTTCTTTGTCAGTATTGTTGTTTATTAATAGTGTTATATAGTGCTACTAAATCTAATGTTACCGATAGGTAGTCACTTCTTGAATTGATTACTGTAGTTAAAATCAAAAGTATCAAGATGTTTGAACCGTCTGTATATTCAATCGGTTACTTTAGTCGGCAATATACCCTTGCATTGGTAAGTAAACACTTCGAAGCAGCCTATATATACGAGGAACATTCCGCGGCCATACTAAGCAGTGACCAATGTTAATCATTAAAGGGCGCATGGCTCTATTTTTGGAACCTTGAAATAGCCAAAACTGGTCCTAAAAGCACATATTTATGTAATATGAATGTATGCAAAGTGATTTATATTCAATTTTTGAAGAAAAAAAAAATATTGTAATTTCTAATCAATTATGTTCAAGTTGAACGACAGTCGTTTACGCCTGCTTGGTGCGTTCTCCTCGTTTTTTAAATTATTATTTTGTCATTTCTGAATCAGCCTTTACTAATTACTTCCACATTGTGTTGTAGGATATGTTTTATTTGCTCATTATAAAATGGCACCCGAAATCATGGTGTACATTCTGTACGCTTTTTTAAATTATTATTTTATTGTCATTTCTGAATCATCCTTTACTAATTACTTCCACATTGTGTTGTAGGATATGTTTTATCTGCTCATTACAAAATGGCACCCGAAATCATGGTGTACACGACTCGTGTACTGATTATAAAATGTTAATTGTGTCCTAAATATTGAATATTAGGATCCTATAACAACATCAATATTGATTGAAACAGGTCAATATTGAATTCCAATTTGTGTTTTTAATTTTGAATATTAGGGAAAATATTGAGTTAGATACTTAGCAGCTTGTGTTTTGTAATTTGCACTTAATATGATAATTATTCATGGACTCTTTCAATCATACCCGTTCGCAGGTTGTGCTTTATAATTTGCATCCAATCGTTGAGCAGCCTTTATCCTTCATTTTTTTAGATTTTATGAAGGTCGTCACCCTTGTATGCTGGTGTCAGAAACATCCATGATAAGGGAAATATTGGTGAAAGACTTCAACTCTTTCCGGAATAGAAGGGTAGATACTTATCAATATAATGGGCTATTTTGACAAAACGTACAAATAAACGGTAACGACAAATTTTGAAAAGTAATTATGAATTTTTAAGGAAATTTCCACTACATTTTATAGATTTAAAACTCAAGAGGCAGTATATACCATAGTCATGCAGGACTCTTAAAAATAACAAAAATCTGACACAACCAAAATTTGTAGGAATGTCTTTTTAGTTACCATTTAAACGTCCATGTTAACAGTAAAGACATAACGAAAAAGACACAAATTCATTGTCATTAATTTGACTTAAGATGTCTAGATAAATGTTTGAATACCGTTAGAAAGCATAGAAAGCGATCATGCAATATCATTTTAAAAAGTACCTCTTGTTTTTCCTTTTCCGATGCAAGAATTTAATGGCCAGTTGAAAAGCACGGTAATTTTTACTGAACTTTTTCAATTTTAAAATGAGATTTTCAAGTTCAAAATCGTGAATAAGCAGTTTTACCATGTAACGGAATGGACATTTTGACCACATAATTTGGTACATGTATATCGATTTTTATTTTGAATAATAACCTTGTCAAATTATCGGCCCAAAGAAGGTACTTCCATGCTGATGTACAGTATATAATTTTTTTATGCCTGGGAAAATTTTATATATCACATCTCGGGTATACTATTTTTTTCCGTTATTTGTACTTTTTGTGAAAATAGCCCATATATTTATCTAATGGAATTCCAGTTGAGTGTATCATTAATTGGAAATAAATTTCAAATGTGGAGACCTATCAATCATGAATTGGCCAAGATTATAAACTGGATTCATTATCATACTTTAAAAAACCCAAAGCTGTTTGTAAATTTAAAGATTATCCTCTTCCCAGATCTTACCAAGACAGATACCACACTTTATGCATTCCGATATTAACCTATACAACTACATGTAGGTATTACTATTTATCTTTCAGAATATTCAAATAGCTGGGTATCCAATGGATTCTGGGATATTACAACAAAGAGACGACCAATGGAAGAACACAAGACACATTTTAACACCGGCTTTTAGCTCTTCAAAATTAAAAAAGGTTGTTTATTATATTTATTTAACTTAATAAATATTTGGAGGTAATTAGATGGAGAGGGTAAACAATAGATAGTTTATAAATCTATAGGCATGTCATGTCTATTCCAGATGGTTGGTCTTATTCAAGACTGTGGTAATATTCTGACCAATAAATCTCAGGAATTAGTGAAGAAAGGTGATGATGAAATTGAACTATACAGGTTAGTTATTTCGGTCAAAAATACATATAAATTATTATGAAAAGTTGTTTATCGTTGCTTGCTGCTAGTTTTATTACGGGACCAGGAACTGATCGCCAAGCGCTAATCATCTTGTTGTTTTTTTTAAAAAAGACCAAGACTCCGGTAATTCAATTACGATCGACATGCTCTATTTGTCTTTGCACAACTTCGCATTTATTGACGAAATTCGATTTTTATATGCCGTAGCTGGTGTTGATGACGTCATGATCGTGTGTGTGTGTGTGTGTGTGAAATAGCTTTTTTTAACGTCCGCTTCCACCGAGGTAATATCGCAGACAACGCCATAATCCGTCCCTTGTCCATATTATAGAACTATCTGCTTGTTTACATTCTAATATACGGAAGAATAAACTGATAAGATAGCACTTGTTTTTCTGTGTGGTTCTTTTGTAGGGTATAAGGCGTAATATTACTTGAGACTGTATTTACAATTTACAGTGCGTTTTATGGGTTGGGTTTTGATATCCTATGGATAATTTATTTATTTGTCTAATAAAATGGAATTTCATTAAAGTGCATAAGTTTAAGATTTTGAGAAATACGAGTATAATTCATTTTTATTTTAAATTAAGACATAACCTCACAAACTAATTTGGTAGCGACGGAAGGGACGTAATGAAAAGAACGTAGTCCTTATTATAGTTAAATGATTGGCTGTTTGGCGCATTATACTTAAAATGGAATAATTGCTTTCTTCGCAGCCATTTTTCTGCTTACACAATGGATGTTATTACAAGTACTGCTTTTGGAGTGAAGATTGATGCGTACGATAAAAATGACCCCTTTATAAAGAATGCTAAAGCTTTCACTACCCTGAATTTTGCAGGGCTCTTGTTTATGACGTATTGTAAGTATAAACTATAAATATTTTTATGTAATGGGTGAGTGGGTATAAAATACCATGAAAAAAGAAAACACACTCCCTGTACAGTAGTGAATGCAGGCTATTTGGTTTGCTGGAGGGGGGAGGGGATGATTTGTGTCATTTATCTGGTCATCAGCTACGTCACTCCAAACAACAAAAATCTCAAATTTGCACGTCTCATACTACTATTTAGTGTGTGTGTGTGGGGGGGGGGTGTAGCCATCGCCACCTGTATCCCCCACTGGCTACAAACTCAACAAAATTGTTTTAAACCTGGTAGTTATTTGTATAATAATTAAATACTATGGGACACTTGATATATAATTATTTCTGAATTTTTGTTTATAGTTCTAGCGCCTGGCCTCCTGCCTTTTCTGCTTGCTCTCAAAATAACAGTTGTACCCAAAGCTCCACTTGACTTCTTCATTCAAGTTATAGACGGTGCAATAGCAGCAAAGAAAGAAAGTCTTGACGTGAGGGTTTTTATTTTAGAAAATAATTGTATTCAACTTTTTCAATTGCGAGTGGGGAACTGGCTGTCTACGGTTTTAACCTTTTATGCAATCCATTGAGGATTGCGACTCTGCTGGTAGTGATTGCCTTGAAGTGATCTGGTGTAAATAGCTCCGACTTTATGGTTCACGTTCAGGCCAGGCCATCTCACGTCATTTAGCCAGGTGGTAAATCAGAGACGTTGGCATATGTCGATATTCATTTTATTCCTTTAGTTTCATTTTACGTATATTCAAATAATATGTATGTTAATGGATGAGCAATATGATTAATGAATGAGGAATGTGAGATTTTAGTATTTTTCTATTATTCTTTTAGCCACGTTTTGATTTGCTGCAAGCTATGTTAAATGCCAGCGAAGACAGTGACCCAATAGAAGACGATGGTTTAATGAGTTCATTGGAGGTTAAATCCACCAATAAAAAAGGTCGAGTTTATGCTTGTCTTATTTGTTCTGACAGGGAAGATAATTAGTGCAGTGGTGATTTGAAATTTGTTTATCTGGTCAAACAGTAAGATCTTACTGTGTAAAAATAGTTTAATTGTTTCCTTTCACATCATATGAGAAATGTATATAGTAAATTAAGAAACAGATGGATCAGACAAACGATGTACGTCGGAATTAGTCTCACTAAACCAGTCTAGTAACTTCCAGTAACATAGTCTGATAGAACTCGCAATTATAATTTAAGTCCATTCCTACAAGTGTGACGTAATTTCTAGAACGTGAAATTGTTCGTAATCACTAAGTTGCAGTGAATGACTCGGGTAGTAGTGCTCACTCTAACTACCGTTATCATTACAAGGATTTGCCAATGAATAACACATACTTTTATCGATTGATAGAATCGAATTGAACGATTTGTTCCAGATCAATGAACAGCGTCATAATCTTTATAACTACGACACTACTAAGTATGGGATAAACCTTTTGTTAAGCATAAGCATTTTGGGTGAAATTGGACTTGTCCGAAGTGATTCCAGAACCGTCGATGTATGTTAACTAACCTGTCAATGCCGGCCTGTATCTGTCTATAACATTTAAATATCTGAATATTACAGGACTGACCAACGGAGAAATACTGGCTCATTCTGTAACGTTTTTCTTGGCTGGGCATGAAACAACGGCAACAACGATGACGTTTTTAGCTTACGAACTGGCGTTGCATCCCGATATACAAAATAAGGCTACAGAAGAGATTGATAGAGTTCTTGGAGATGTATGATTATTTCTATTGTTCATTGATTTTAAATATACATATACATTTATGACAGTGGATGGTTATACCATGTGATACTGGCGCATATGCGGAGGGGATTAACAAACCTCAACAACCCCTTTTGATTCTTAAGCCTTACATTGTCATAAACTAAGTTGTGCTTTTCAAGCTGTGGTAGAAATAATGCAAACTGCAAACTATTCTTCAATCAAGAACACGACTTATTAATAAAATTTGTCAGATGTTTGAGTGTCAGTGGTATTATGCAAACCGCTAAATAATCAGTCGTCCTTAATTAGTCTTTTATCATGTTGATTGTTGAATATTGCTACTCTAAGTAAATTTGACCCTAATCAATTGCGGGCCGGTTAATGCGCATACATTTTGTATTAGCTAAGTTTGAATTCCAGGAAGATTTGTATTCCATTCGATATCATGTATAGCCTCATTACTCAATTAAAAAGTTTATTTGCGGATTTTGTTTATATTTCAGAAACCTTGTGATTATGAAAATATACAAGAGCTAGTCTATCTTGATATGTGTTTATCTGAAACATTACGTCTATACCCACCAGCAACCAGGTAGGCCCAAACTAAGGGTGTTTTGTGCTTTGTCTGGTGATCTTATAATTACCGGCCGTCTTTGGGAATAGCATGCAAACTACTATATTGTGAAATAAACTATAACACATACTTATGAGGTACCTGTTTTTTCCATAAGTATGTGTTACAGTTTATTGCTCTATCTAGTTACTAAATGCCTCTCAAAGATTATATTGTGAAAGTTGCATCTCTAATGGAATATCAGCTCAAATATGGTTCAATTCCGTTCAGTCTTTACAAAGTTATGAAACATTGAAATTTTATTGAACTAGGTTGATCGAGCCTAGCGTAGAATCCTGATTGGCCGAATTTAAATCAGATTGAATCCAAGTCGGCAGTTTATCTAGTGTTGATATTTTTATTTTTATTTCTTAAACATGCATTAATCAAGAGCTAAATCTGCCTATTACAGGTCTTTCTTTATGCCTGAAATGTTATCTAAATTATTAATTAGACATTAATTAACTTATCCAGACCATAATCAACTCTCGATGTCATCGCTAGTCTGCGATATTTACTGGATTAGGATCCTATTTGCTGCTCAACTTTCATTTATGATTAAATCAAGAAATGGATAATCGAGGCTATGTTTTTTTTATCGTACCGACTTTAGTAATGATGATTTGGGCTAGGCCCAAAATTCAATCGCTAAATACTCGGTTCAGAGTAGATCAATTTGACTGAAATTTTCAGCAAATTCCCTTTACATTATCTAGTTTTTAACTATTATAGTGAGAACTGCCAGCTCTTTATCTAATCTCCCATAACGTATCTTTAATTAAATGTTAAATAATCAATCTGAGTACATAATTAGCGTGTATTAAGCCGTGAGAAATATGATATTTAATCTAGCGAAAATGCAAATGACGCATCGAACTTGTAAGTAAAAGTAGATGTAACAAACTAAGCATGATATTCCAAACCTCTCTATAACCAGTATTACAGCCAAACCAACATTTTGTTATTATTAACTATAACACAAGCTTATGGAAAACATCTACTAATTTATTTGGGCGGCGTTTGGAAGAGTATTTTCTCAAACGGTGAGATATTATCATGTAATAGTTTATTGCTCTATTCGGTTACTAAATGCCACTAAAAGATTATTTGTATTATTATAGGTTAGAAAGAACAGCATCGGTTGATGTGACACTAGATGATATCAAAATACCAGCTGAAACAATAGTAGTCATTCCTGTTTATACAATACATAGAGATCCTTCTATATATGATAATCCAGATGACTTTATACCAGAAAGGTACATTGTTAATACTAAAACTATACATATCCTTTCATTTGATATAGCCAATTAGAACTGCATTTAGTATAGTAATTGAACTTTTTTTCATGCAATATCCTAGTAGCATCTTATACCAGAACAGCCGCTTTTAATTTTAAGATCTAACTGTTTATGTTTCAACGTTTATTCGACAGGTTCAGTCCCGAAAAAAAAGCAAAACTTGGTGCATATCATTACATGCCGTTTGGATTGGGGCCTAGAATTTGTATTGGAATGAGAATGGCAGTTTTAGAAACCAAACTAGGAATTGCTCGACTTCTACAGAAATTTAAGTTTTCCACCTGTGACAAAACTATGGTACGTTATGATACAATATTTAGTTTCTGTGTTTGTTGATGAGTTATGTCCCTTAAAATTAACACACGGCGACGTTACAGTTCAGAGCAAACGAGGCGGGTCAGCTTATAAAACCGGGCAATATTATTGGAACAACCATCATTAGCTTTTCAGGATTGCCACACTCGATTCGCTATGTTAAAATTTAAGTGCTCTGTGGCCATTCTGGCACCGTTTAACGACACTTAATTCTGGAGGGTTAGTCCATCTGATAAACAAGCCCAAAGTTCCCGACTCTCCCCTGTCCGAATTCTGTTACACGACGACTATCAGTAGTCCATGGGAAGAACCTGTTTAAAATAGTTATTAGTCATTTGGTTTCTTATAGCCATAAACTATCATCATGACTAATTATAGAGTTGATAAAATATGGTACCTGCACCCGCTCTAATGGGAAATCAAATTCAATGTCCATACAAACTGACAACATAAACCTTTGCCTTTTTATGTACCTGCACCCGCTCTAATGGGAAATCAAATTCAATGTCCATACAAACTGACAACATACACCTTTGCCTTTTTATTCCCTTTAGTGTCACATTCTTGTACTGATTGTAAGACCATAATTTCATATGAATTAAACGCACTGTATCTAATTTTATTTTTCAGATACCATTAAAGTTTCGTAATTCGACTCTGTTACAAATAGACGGTGACGTGGTTCTTAAATTTATTGCACGATAATGAAAACGTGTACTCCGACCAATTCAGCTACATGACTAACGGGAGTGGTAGAAATTTAACCGTTAATAGATAGTAGTTTGAGTTCCGAGGTGTTCTGGTCGTCTGATGAAAACTCTGAGGAATGTTTTAAAAAATGAATAAAAATGCGAAAGACGCATATCGTGTAAAGCATTAACAAATCTTAAAGATTAAAACAAGATACAATACAATTTTAAAAAAAAATTGTGTTTTATTAATGAAATAAATAAAAATCAATATATCCATAAATCGTGAAATATCTACTTAAAGCATATGATATTTTTAAACAATATTATTTTTATTCAGGTTTGTAGCCTATATATACTCTTAAAAAAAGTAGGGTATATTCAGAAACAATACAAAACTGCAGAAATACACTGCTGTTTTTATAAGAGGTAACCAGTGTATGTTAATAACAAGCCAATTGCATACACGTGAACCTACACGGTTCATATGGACGGCTTATCTGACAGCCCCATTTCACTCGCAAAGGGATACACCGTCAAAAGTGAAAATGGACGTTTTTGATTTTTATCTTAATAATGAGTAATTGCCCCACCAATCCTCAGACATTCAGCAATTAGTCGTGGCATGCTCCTAATCAACAGTCCAATCACGATTTGGGGCAATCTGACCAACTCCTCTTGCAGTGCCACGGCCAATTCTTGCAGTCTTGTCGGTTGACGTTGACGTCGACGAACACCTCTCCCGATCAAATTAAACGTAACACACTAAAGAAAAGATACGCTAAACAGTAAATCTTATGCAAGAATCGACAGGAAAGCAAACATGGATAGGATAAACCAGCACTCGGCAGTTTTCATCAACCCTTCGTTGAAGTGGCATGTTTGACAATGAACCCCTCCCACGTGTATGGCGCTATTGCGTGTCGCATGTGCAGCTCAGTGGTTCTGTTGGGGCGATAAGTTCTTCATCTGTGAACATACTCTCAAAGCATGTCAAGTGTCCATGACTATTTATCATATCACAACCTGCATAGGTAATTGCATTTCATTATCCCTTACTTTTTTTAAGAGTATATATTAAACCCCTCTCCACATGTATTTACATTTTATAAATAAAACAATGTACAAGTGTAACATAATTACAGTCAGTATGGGTAGGCCTACTTAGTTTACCCAAGTTTTGATGATTTCGAAATACGAGTGGACAGTTTGAAAAATATTCAGCGATATCTCCGTGTAGTCAGTTCCATGCAGTAAGATGATAGTGTTACCGTGGGTAGACGGTAGATTGTTTATTGTTGAGGGCATCTGAATGTAAGGTATAATACAAAAAATGTGTTCACCTACTTGGTGGCTATATTTACAGGTTCGATCGTCAGAAATATGACAAAAATTGTGTCCGTTTAGATAGCCTAAAAGAGAGGCTCGGTTTACAATGAATGATTTGGTTTACGCGATACCCAAAAGTAAACGATTTTGCTTGTGCTGAATCTTGTGACATTATTTCAAATTGGAGGTTTTTAGTGATGTTGAATTTTTAGTGTTTACACTTCCATTCTCTACTTGACAAAGGTATGGAAGAATTATATTTGTTTTACAGGTAGATTGACTTTACGGAGATTAACATGTTCGCTTTTTGTCAAGAATAAATCTTATGTCTTCTGCGTCTCATTGTTAGCGTAATAAAACCGGTTTATATACAAGTGTCTAGCTGGTACTCCTTACAACACCACATATGGACCTAAGTGTATTTAGTTGTAGGTGCTCTAATTTTAATTTTTCAGCTGGATGGTTCGAGCAGTTGTCCCAGATGACGTCATTATATAATCAAACCCAAAGCCCTGTATGTAGTTCAGACTGAGTCTCTAAACCCTGATGTATCCTGTAGTTCGGATAGAGTATCTAAACCATTGTGTACCCTGTAGTTCGATGTACCCTGCAGTTCAGATAGAGTGTTTAATTAATACATGGTCTCTAAAACATGATGTACCCTGTAAGCCAGATAGAGTTTCTAAACCATGTTTACACTGGAGTTGGTATAAACCATAGTTTTGTAAATAGGGGGTCGATCGTCAAATGAATATGAATTTTACGATATGTTAATCGACATATTTTCTCTTAAATGAATATATTGTTAATGCGCTTTAAATATCTGGATGCAAGAGACTTGGTGTAGAAAATTCTGGGTACACTGTTAACCACCAATAAATGTTTTAATGACAATAATTCATTTACTTTATTCAGCTCGACACAAGACTTAAAATGAATAGATACAGCTCGTTTAAATTGAATGTAGACATTCTTTATCTATGTTGTATACAAATCATATCATAAATCATATCATAAAAGTATCTTATATTAATATTATTATTTACACATAGGCGAGAAGTGATAACGTCTTACCCCAAACAAATTGCAAAAGAAACCAGGAAGTTTCGGAGAGCGATATCTCGTATCACATGTCACTGATGAAACATTATGCCCGAATGCCACGCTAGGCACCTTTTATTTAAATGGTTAGCACGTGCGCGCTGTATCATAAGGTCTGTCATTGAGTCAATTGGCATGGTTTCGATTCCTCTTGTACGTGACAAGGAGTATTGTCGCCTGTCTAATCTCGTGGGTTTTCTCCGTGTCTTTCGGTTTCCTCCCACTGCTAAAGACCCCTACACGCAAGCGTATTATTGAAATTAAATTCAACCATGTGTTAGTCCCAAAGTGACCTAGTTTGTGTCGCGTGGACGTTAAATCCCATCTTCTCTGGGCACCCCAGTTTCTACCCACTGCTAAAGACCCATACGTGAAAACGAATTATTGAAATGGTTTAGTTTGTGTCGAGTGGATGTTAAAGCCCAACTCTCTCTCTCTCTCTCTCTCTCTCTCTCTCTCTCTCTCCTTTTATTTAAATTACACTGATTTTAAATGTTTTATCCATTAGTCAATTGAAAGAAATTTCGATTTTCGAAAAAATGATGATACAAATGATCAATGCCCGAAAACTCATGGAAATTCAGGCAAAAAGGTTTTATCTCCCTAAGTACTATTTAAATTTTGATTTTTCACTTTGCCTGCCTGCACAAAAAATCTGATTTCTAAAAGCGTATGCAAGTTAAATATATTTAAAATACAGATGTGACGCCATCCTTTGATGTTGGCGTATCATTATTTCAGATAATGGTACGGGCAATGTGTCAGGCGTACATTATTTATACTAGTTGACATTTTTGACTCGCGTGACGTATTTCATTGCAAACACGTGCGAGTGTCCGTATTTTAAGTGTTGTTTCATTACATTACTTAATGTCTCGCTCTCGAACATTAAACCACACTTAATAGCACTTTTATCTGGTTGTATCTTTTATTTCATTTCTTATGAATTAGACTATATTATTATAACAATAATGTGCGCTTTTTGTTGTAGTTTGTTCAACAATACATTTCGTTTAAAAATATATGTTTTATCTCCTATAGACTCTTTTTCGCGGAAATCTATAACATATCTATACACATTCCTGTCTATCGGGGCAGCCAACTTCGACACAACAGTATGATAGGGCATACAATAGATAGTGAGTAGGTACAAATACTTGGGACCCAAGATGGCGTCTTTGTATACTTGACGTCATTTTTCATGACGTCATATGAAATTCTGGCTTCACAGGTCGCAACTTTATCTATATATATATATATATATATTATATTATATGGCTTTGATCAACATGTGGTAAAATGAAAAGTTATAGATGGTTTGTGACGATTTTCTTGAAATACCGCGCCTTTTTGAATTGGCTGTGGCTATCTGGAGTATAAAAACATCAACACCCCCTTTGTGACAAATGACAATTATTGCAAAATTAATAGGGAAAATGTAACAGTTAGTAATAATTTCATCAGAAATGCTTAACTTTCCTTGATTAGAAAGAGGGTTTCTCATATTGGAGTATACTGTATGGAGTAAAAAGTCCCCAAAATCTATAGAAACATAATAAAGTAAAAACTTTCCAAGAGCCACCTAAATGGTGAGTTGAGTGCTCTAAACTAGTGAAAAACTAAGTCATACAGCAGTGCAAGTTCTCGATGACTAAATAGGACCATCTACCGACCTTGAATAATATCAATATTCTAGGCCTTCGTGCTTCACAGACAGCTGATAATATTTCCATACAAAATTGCATAGGCTTAAAGTGCACATTAGCTTTGTCACTTGTTTGGCGGAGATGTTTTATTTCTAAATAAATCAAAACTTGTAGTGCTAACTAACGATGGAAATTCAGAAGTTATTGGCTAAACATTTAAGATTTTACGGCCACATAGGTTAATGCTACGTAGCTTAAATAGGTGTTTATTGGTGAAACGTTTCTTTAAGAGATTCCATATTTAGCCCATGTCGATTGTAAAATAATCTGAATCACGATTTTATTTAATTATGCGTTTTATGTATAACATTTTCTGATATGTGTATGTTATCCAAAATGGGATTCAATAGACAGCATTGTTTTCACTTAAAGTGTGTTCTCGGTGCCGTCAAGATCATATCCTTCAAATACTATGGTGGCGTGTTTTTAACAGTAATAAGCTATTACACACTATTTAAACTACCGAATGAAAATAGGTATTTCATACAAAGGTATTTTAGAACGTTCAAAATTTGACTTCGCAGCATAGGATACGTGCCGGGGAGCTACAAAATATCACACAGACAGAATGAATGATACAATACAAACTCCCAGAGTAACGACAAGAAAATACATGTAGAACACGTGATACAAGAACAGAACGCAATTAAATTTAAATACATATTCCCAGAGTAACAACAATGAAATAGAACTCGTCATACAAGAACAGAACACAGTGAAATATATATTTCCAGGGTAAATATAATAACATTGAACAATTCAAATGATACAAGAACAGAACACAATTAAACATACATAATGCAAGAGTTAAATCTGCCTATTGCAGGTCTTTCCTTAGGCCCGAAATGTTATTTAAATTATTAATTAGACATTAATTAACTTATTCAGACCATAATCAACTCTCGGTGGCATCGCTAGCCTGCGATATTTTCTGGATTAGAATCCTATCTGCTGCTTAATGCTCATTGACAATTAAATCAAAAAATGGATAATTGAGACTCTGTTTTTATCGTACAGACTTTAGTAATGATGATCGAGGCCAGACCCAAAATTCAAGTGGATCAATTTGACTGAAACTTTCAGTAAATCCCCTTTACATTATCCAGTTTTTAACTATTATAGTGAGAACTGCCAGCTCTTTATCTAATCTCCATTAATGTATCTTTAAATACATTTACCCAAAGTATACGCAACAAAATAGATAACATAAAAGCATCTTAGCCAAATAAATGTTTGAAAGACATGTGCTTTTCTATTCACAAACAGTCAGGGCGGTTGGAGTTCTGGTATACCATTTAACCCTAAACTTATATTATTCCCAAATTCTTGCCTGAAATACCTATCCAAAAATATACGTACAGTGAAAATGATATTCCTATGGACGATTTAGACGATCGCCCTATTTACCTATATGCAATGATATCATTTAATAGGCGTACTTCGGTAACACTTTTATGGTACACGTCATATCTACCACCAAATGAGGTTAGCTGCACAACACTTGTCAAGGTTCTCAGTTAAATTATCTGTAAAACATGATAACAGACTATGAATTTAAAACCGTCCAAAGTATTTCAATAGCCCAAAAATGCTTACACGGACAGCTTCGATTTTCTGTGCATTCTTTGTATCAGTATTAAGTGTTCGTTACGAACCTACATGGGACTCTATTGATTCGCGTCCTCTGCCAGCATGGTACGACGAGGCCAAACTCGGTATTTTTATTCATTGGGGTGTATTCGCCGTACCCAGTTTCAATTCCGAGTGGTTTTGGGAACGTTGGCAGGCCGATCGAACACCAGAGGTTGTAAATTTTATGAATAATAACTACAGGCCAGATTTTACGTACGCTGATTTTGCATCACAATTTACAGCTGAGTTCTTTGATGCCAATCAATGGGCAGATATGTTCAAAGCGTCAGGTGCCGAGTAAGTGTATGCAATATCAAAATATTACGCGAATACGTGCACATCTTTAAAACTATTTTATTTTTGTGATTTAATTGGCCATGCCTATGCCTTTTCGAAAGCAATTGGCAGGGACAATGATCGTCCTAGACGGTGAGTATGGCGAGTAGTTATTAACCTGGAGTTAATGCTGGTGTTGGTCGGGAAAATTCCTCCAGATTTTCCGATTTGGATTCCCCTTCAAAGTAGTGTGGGACATCAGGGAAAATCGGCTAGGGGTTCGAATGGGAGGCAACACTGAGGACCACGCACGTACTCATTGATAGTTGGAATTCGGCCAATTGTTTGTTCATATGCCCGTCTTTATTATCCCGCTTGGTGCAGAAGTGAGGGAAGTTAATACGCTGTTCTAGATAGGCTTACTTTTTTTTATCATTGATAATTGTTTTCTTTACGATTGATTATATCGATATTCCAGCAAGTTATTAATTATGTGGGGTTGTTTTTAAGATATATCGTGTTTGTGAGTAAGCATCATGAAGGTTTTACAAACTGGCCTTCTAACCATTCATTTAATTGGAATTCTATGGCTGTGGGGCCTAAACGAGATATAGTAGGTAAGTTTCTTATTATTTACAGGATTATATTTTAACATTAACGTGCACAGGAATTATATTTAGTATATTTTATTATTTTATTCGTTACTCTTTACAGAATTATATTTTATCATTAACATGCACATGAATTACATGTATATGTAGTATATTTTATTATTTTATTCTTTACTCTCGTTTTCCCTCATCTAGTGACATTCAATTACTTTTTTGAATCATCAGATATCCTCTCAAAGCCTCACATAACAACTTTTGGTCTTCGAAGGAATTATTAGTGAGCAGAAATTCGCCCGTGTATCTGTTATCACCCATCACTTCAGTCAGTTATATAGAGAGATAACTCGTGTTTTCCTTTTGCGTTCGTGACTTCCCTTTCTTGAAATCTTCATAACGCATCTATCGTAGCAATGATCGGCGTGTTAAAATTATATTTGGAGCGTGTTTAACCAATTCTATCACAATATGTGAAAATGGCTGACACCAATATTGTCCTTTAAGGGGGCATTGGTTGTTATAACTTTTTGAAAATCTAGTCTAAATTGTAATCTACCCGACAGGTTCAGTAATCACGATAAAGACATTTGAGTTACATATTAATTACCCCAGGTATGCATTGCACTCTTCAGATTGCCTACCGTTAACTACTCTTGGGTCAATGTGGTTACCTGACAAGCTCATGTTGGTTTTTGTTCACAGTATCACATTTTTGTAGGTGAATTGGCAGCATCTATTAAAACCAACACGTCTATTCATTTTGGTATTTATCACTCTCTGTTTGAATGGTTCAATCCATTGTTCATACAAGATAAAAAGAGTAATTTTACAACACAAAACTTTGTTAAAGTAAGCCTTATTCTTGTTTTTTTTTATATGCAGATTATTTAGCATCGATTTTCATTAAATGAGTCACCATCTGTGAGTACCAAGTGGGCAGCCGAATGAATAAAATGCAAATATTCTAAATGACTAATCTTCCTCCTGTGACCGCTAGCTACCGATTAATACCTTGCTAAGTTAATGATATCTAATACATCCTTGCGAAATTACCAATATAATTATTTTTTCCAACCAATGACAGTCACGTTTTCCTCAAGGGTATCTGCCGATGTTTAAAATTTTCTGTATTACATTCTATAATCGGAAATATATATTTGCACTAAACAAATGTTATATTCTTAAATAGTTGTTAGGGCCAGTTGTACGCCTTTTATTGAAGTATTCAATCTGTTAAAACAATAAACCTTATCGCCGTCTTAATGTTTTTGTAGCAAAAGACAATGCCCGAACTTTACGAGTTAACTAACATGTATAAACCTGATGTTATTTGGTCTGATGGTGATTCAGAAGCACCAAGCGATTATTGGCAATCCAAAGAATTCTTAGCTTGGTTATACAATGACAGGTAATTAATATTCTGGCATCTAAGATTATAAAATATTTCATGGGAAGTAACACTTGGGTAATACATAGGAGAATTCAAGACACTCTGCATGTCAGAAGATACTGTAAAGTTATTTTAGTTTTGAATAGGATATATCCCCGTGTTTGAAAATAATGCTGTTGCGATTTTCCTTCAATATTCCAAAATATAAACAAAACAAATTGCAAATGTTGAGCGTGGTAGAAAGCGTGATTTTCCATCAAACGACGTACTTTTTGATCAGGAGAAATCAAATTATTGACTATATTTTCTGTTGTCGCATCTATTTATTGTACATGAAGTACATATTATTATTGGTTGTATGGTAAAATGAACTTCATTTGGAACACATTAAGAACAGATATATGTTCGTCGATAGTTATGTGTTTAAGATATCTATATATAATTTGGGCGCCCTTGTAGTTAACATTATAATTATTTAATTTTGTTGTTTCTTATAGTCCTGTCAAAGACACGGTTGTAACTAATGATAGATGGGGTAAAGATGCACATTGTCAACATGGTGGATACCTAACATGTCATGACAGATATAACCCCGGTACGATACATCACCATGCTTTAATCACAATTAACTTTAAAAACGTTATTTATATTCCTTGCATATCGCCAATCCTGTCCCTATGGCAAAGGAAACCAGGATGGTAAAACAGTACTAGAGAAACCCTCATGGCAAATAACGGGACGAAAATCTTAGGTCCAGTGTATACTTTGGTGTGCACGTGAAAGAATCACTGAGACAAACGTACCTCCATAGCCCGCCTTCTTTAGGCGCAGACAACTAGGATGTTAAACCTTATTGCATTCATTTCATTCTTTTATATGGTGCATAATAAATATCAGACACGTGCTTTATTTATGCATATTAATACATCTGGTTAATCCCGATTGCAAGGCGCAATTTGATTGATCAGCCCTTGCTGGGCACTTACTTTATAGGTACACTTCAGAAAAGAAAATGGGAGAATGCAATGACTATCGATAGAAGATCCTGGGGATTCAGAAGAAACGCACAATTGTCAGATTATTTGTCCACTGAACAACTTTTAGCCACCTTCATCGAAACTGTGAGGTAATATGCCTATCTATTTGTGTGTGAAAAACTTGGTTAGTGTATCTTTTGTTTTAAAGCTAATTAAATCAACTGCTTCTTAATCTTGTTCATTAGATCCTTCTCCGACTCCTGTTTTTAAAGCCCCCCACCCCCCAAGCCTCCCCCCCACTCCGCCGGGCCTGAATATTATTAATTCTTGTATATCATCTTCTACTATTTACAACGTTTTCATACAAGCTTATGTTACCCCTTTAATTTAAAAATCTACACTGGATCCTAATGTTTTTAAAAATTACAGACCTGTCTCTAACTTAAGTTTTATTTCTAAAATATTGGAGAAATGTACTGCTTCTCAGATTGGTCGTTGCATTCCTACTTGCAATGAAACTTTCGATCCTAACCAGTATCCAATTACAGCCAAATAGATTATCTCGGCAAAGTTGAGTATCAACCACGTTAATAAATTTTCAACATAAATTAATTCGATGGTGATCATATCGTCGCTTGAATCGCCAAACTTTCTATCTCCAAAAACGTAAATTTTACAGGAGACAAAAAACTATTTTTTAAATTTACGGTAAGGAATGAGTTGCTACCGACTACGTTTATCTTACGTTTAACTTTAACCATATACCAGGAATATTGTCACCAATAAATGATATTGTCAGAAAATATGGTCTCTGACAATGCCGATGATATTCAATTATATATTTCATTTACACCTAATTTCCATCTTCTTTCAATTTATCAAAATTGCAACTTGAGAAAATTGACGTCAAATAACTTTCTAAAATTGATTGATGATAAAACCGAATATTTGTTAGTAGGCTTAAGGCATCAATTAAGTAAATTTGCATATGATACACCCCCTCCCCCTTCCCCTACACTGTTGTAATTAGTTATTGTGATATATTTTCATCTTATTCTGTCCGTAATTTTGTCACAATCTTTTATAGTTTTATGCTTATGGGAGCTCAAGTAAATAATAGTTGTAAATTGTGCTATTCTAATATCAGAAATATAGGTAAAATACGTAAATTTGTAACTGTAGAGGCCATTAAGTCACTTGTTAATTCTCTGATCACTTCTCGATTAGATAACTTTAATTCACTTTTAGTTGTATTGCCATTCAGTACATGCCATGAAAATCAGATCAAATATTTTATGTGTCCGCGAACTCCATGCTTTGCGTGGCTATCTTTTAATAAATTTACATGTTGTTACCTTATAGTTGTGGAGGAAATATGTTGATGAATGTTGGACCTACAAAAGAAGGAACTATTCATCCCATATTTGAAGAGAGATTAAGAGAGTTTGGGTCTTGGTTGAATGTCAACGGTGAAGCTATCCGATCATCTCGTCCGTGGACAACACAAAATGATACTTTGACAAGACGAGTATGGTGAGTTTGACACGATTTGTGACCCTAAAATGGTGCATGTGTTACCTTTCTGGCAATCGGCTTTGCTGGGGTTTTTTTTACATTAAATCACAATAATATATTTTAGTCTCAAAATAATCCAAGTAGACGTAATTTCGACTATTGTATTATAGTCATGATCAATGTAGTGAACATGCGACTACCAAGTATCTAGAATAGCCATTCCTGGGCATTATAATAAATATGTGACTATCAAATATCTGGCTCAAGATTTTTATTTTATTTTCATTGTCAATATGTACTGAACAGTTAGTGTTATCCTGTATATCAAATATCGTATATCTTTGAAACTGCTTTTTAAAACTATATATAGATATTCATTATATACAAAAGGTACACAATGAACAACTCAAACGTATATGCCCTAGTACTCGATTGGCCAACTGGTTCAACATTAAGCTTGGGGGCTCCAATGACACAATCTGGTACAACTGTTCAGCTGGTAGGCTATTCTGGAAATCTTACGTGGACAGCTCGTTCTGGTAAAGGAATTGACATTCAAATTCCACCCATACCTACAAATAAGATGCCATGCAAATGGGCGTGGTCATTTAAATTATCAGGATTGGAGAATATTTAACTAAATAAAGTATAATAATAATCGTTGTTTTATCCTGATAACTTGTGTTAATAGATTGTCTCGACCCATGGTCACCCACTCACGAAACAAAAGTACATAGAGCAGCATTCCGCCGATTGGTCATTGCATTCTTACGTGCAATCCACTATCCAATTACAGCCAAATAGATTATCTCGGCAAAGTTGAGTATCAACCACGTTAACGAATTTTCAACATAAATTAAATCGATGGTGTGTAACACTTCCTTAGTGATAACAGAGATTAGTTTCATAAGTATGTGGTTTATTTACATCGAAACAGAATACAACACATACAGGTACTTAAACTATGTACAGGAACGCATCAGGACGGTAATAACTATGTTAACTCTACCATTCTGCCTCTCTGCCAAGGCAGCGATTGAACTCGGATGAGTCCATACGCCTGTCTGTGCGTCTCCCTCTGCTCTGTTCCTGTTCATCTTTGCTCTCTGTCAATCAAAGTATGCGTATACATATATTATTGATATTAATATATTAAATATAGAACTACACAATGAATCAGCTGTCATTGATAGATTATTTCACTATAATCATATTGATGTTGACAACACCTGAACACTAGTAAATGTAATTACCGGTCAGTGATAGGTCAGCGTATTGTCTAACTTGAACTCTCTCATCCTAATAATGTAACAAGTGACCATATCGTCGTTTGAATCGCCAAACTTTCTATCTCCAAAAACGTAAATTTTACAGGAGACAAAAAACTATTTTTTAAATTTACGGTAAGGAATGAGTTGCTACCGACTACGTTTATCTTACGTTTAACTTTAACCATATACCAGGAATATTTGCTAATTCTGCATTATTCGCTTGAACCAGCAGATAAGAGGTTTTGACTGGGCGAATCTGGGATCTGTAAGCTTGTTACGAGGTTTTGTTAGCATATTGTGTGACCTAAATGTGAGATATGGTGTTTTGTTATGAAATATGCAATATGGTTATACCAATATCGAGTTAATCGTTTTATAAACATTTGAAATATTGTTTTTTTTTTCGCATTATTCTAACCTTTGTAATATACATACTTATACACCTGTGCTATATGCTGTCTTTGATGGGATTGTAATTATGCTACTACCTGTTATGTTATGTAATATACATACTTATACACCTGTGCTATATGCTGTCTTTGAAGTCTCGGCTACATTGGCTCGATGAATAAGGCACTGGTTCACTAACAGGAAGTCCGGGGTTCGATCCCGGTGGTTGCCGAGAAATCCCCGGGATTGCCTGTGTGGTTCCTCTTGTCAGTGGTGCATGAAGGGGGGGGGGGGGCTTGCAAGGAACAGCGTCTAGTCATTCGGGTGGCACGAAAGCCTGGGTTATATTATGTTTTGGTTTTCGCATTCATTGGAGACGTAAAACCTTCAGATAACTTTCGGGGTTCAAATATGTGACACAATTAACCCTGGGGAACATCTCTATAGTTCATATATATAACTATGTATAACTAGATTTTCGAATCTGCTCACTACTCAGTGTATTGATCATATTTCTTTTGTATTGACAAAAAGAGACAAAGGCCCTCATGTTAGGATTTTTTTTATTAATTCAACTTTATTACAAATATAAATAATGTATTTTAACAAAGAGAAGAAAGAAATTAACCAATTTCTGCAGCTCTGTTTGAACTGCAGTGAACACTGAATTAAATAATAAACGGAACAAAAGTCAGTTTAGGACATTTCAGTTGCATGAAATGTATCATGCATTCGTTGACGAATCATAAGTATGAATGCTAATCCCTGGGTAGCGCAGATGTCAAGTCTTGCAATTTTTTAAATTTCGTGGACGTCCGCGCGCGAAAAGCGGTGGACATTCTAAAGCGTTTTCAATCGGTACTCCTTAGCCTTTTTTTCTGTGGAAGTTCATCATATTCGTCCCTATGACATAACTTCTAATGAAGCACACCATTCGGTTGATACTATAAGGCACTTAGATTTGTACCAAGAGGATGACCAATGTTACTGCCCGGTCTGCTAGATCTATACAGATTTAACCCCGAAAAAACTTTGAAGAAGGTATAGTCTTCTTCATGATATCCACATAATTAGCAGGACCGTATATTTCTTTTTTGGAAATTGATCTTTCAATGGTAGCGTGAAATGAGTCCACTTTTAGGGGACTCTATAGTTTGCAATTTCTTTAAATTTAAAAAAAAACATTCACATATATTACTGTTAAACCATGATCATTGTTAAGTTCGAATTTCGTGAAAATCGGACTGAAACTTCCTCTCAAAATGGCTCTCACCTGTACACAAGTGGGGAAAGGCATTTAATATATACCAAGATTGTGGACCCTGTAGAGGCCACTGTTTTGTCGACGTTGGATGACAATTCAAATATGTGTGCATGAGACCTTCCGTTCCGGAGTTATACCCCTGCTTTTTATGCAAATTCCACATTTTTTGTCCGATTGAGATGAAACTTACCGTATATGTTAGGGATCAAACGATCTCGGAGATATTTGATTTTGGTGTGCATCAGATGTTCCGATCCAGTTTGCGATCAACAGATCTCGGATGGGTGCGATTTCGGTGAGTAAATCGTTATGCAATATCAGTCTGATCTCAAATAAGAACTCATCACCTCTAATTTAACATTTTCGTGTTTCTAAGCAACCTGTAATTTCACATGAAATATATATGACAAAGCCTCCTTATTTACACAATTATTATACAATATTCCAGTTTTAAACTGTTAAAGATTACACATATTTATACATCTAAGTGCTTATTAAAAAACGTATATGGGAATATTACTTCAAACTTAAGGTTATAAATTTTAATGATTTGAAATGGTAATGAATCAGCGGTGTATCAAATTTGGAATTTCCAAAATTGATATAAATAATACACACGTTTGCATTAATTGAACATCATAATTTTCTCTATTATTTAGTTTTTGTAGTTAGTCTAACAAATCTGAGTGACAAATACCACATTCTACTTTCAGAAGGAAAAAAATATATAATGGAAGTTAACTACTATACAGAATTTGAAAAGATATGGAATCAGGCCATATTGTATGCATGGCATGGTCTCTTTGCATTTTTTTTTAAATAAAATAAACTTGTTTGTTTACAAAATAATACAATATTTATGTATCAAAAACAATATAGAAACAATATTTAAAGTCATAAGACGTATACATTAAGTACGATTTCATATCATAATATACACTATGCTAACTATAACAGTACTTAATAACCCAAATTGCTAAATTTGAAAGTCCATGCAAATTTACAGGGCATTTTATTAAATGGAATAGGGGGAATCGCGATGTCAATTCCTCTGTCCATTCGTGGTTTCCATGAAAAGGTGCCTGGGTATCCAAGTAGTTCTACAGTTGTGCTTGAAGTTGTAACTGGTGCCCCTAAGCTTAAAGTTGATCCAACCGGCCAATCCAGGACAAAGGCATATACATTCATCGGCTGCATGGTGTACCTTAAATTATATAATAATTGTAACTATTTCATGAATCTATTTGGACAATTTGGAAGACAAGCAATGTATGTCGTTGTAATGTCCAGGACGAAGATAAAAATACGTATATTAACCCACTTAATCTTCCGAAATATAAAAGAACTTCCCTCATTACTAACTGCCCCAGGCCATATCATTAACCTTTCTACGAGGGATGAATGGTTTAATGAAATGCCTTATAATATCTTCTTACACTACGTTCAGTTTTGTATATATTATTCAGTTGCCCAACGGAAGTAACTGAACAAATATTAAGTAAAATCTCATTTTTTCTGTTCCATCAGCAAACCAGATCACAGCTTTGGAATACATTCTGAAATTTCTCAAAGCATATTTACTTACCACACATTAGGAGTAAGTGTATCATTCTGGTATATCCAGGGCCGAGAACCTCGTATACCTTCATTATTTACAAACTTCCATGCACCAATGTCTAATAATCTCTCTTGAAAAATGGGAGTTATTGTTCCTTCTTTCGTTGGACCAACATTCATTAACATGTTACCTCCACAACTATATAAAACAATATTAATTGAAATAAATAATCACACACACTGCTTTAAAACATCCGTCATCTGATCTATTGAAATAGCATGCAGACACAACGGCACAACTAGCAAATGAAATTGGGTTTACGACCCTACTTTAAAAAGAATTTGCTCTGTTGACGTGTGGAAATGCGGTTCTTAGTGCAACTAATAAACGTCTCAAAATTGTCAAGTTACTTTTGAAAGAGTATCGTACTTTCAGATACAGCTATGCCCCTTATTCAAATATTTTCTATGTTTGATTTTATTGGCAGTAAAATGTAAAAAGTGACACTGTTTAAAATGTAATAATACAAACTTTACTCGAAATGCGAAAACACGTTAGGTAGTAAAAATTTTGAATGTTTCACAAATATATTACAGAAATGTTTGGAAACACGGGTATTCCTTTTGAAAAATTTATAGAATTTTATTTTGTTTAAATTTCATAATAAGTTTCTATAAATTTTGAAATACCTATGTTGGGACAACTAGCTATTCACCTGCTTCAGAAATATATCACAGAGATTTGGTAACACAAAAAGATCATTTAGGAAGACGTTACTATTTATTTTGACCATACCTGACAGTTTCTATAAATGTATCAATTAACTGTTTGCTGGTTAGGAAATCTGTTAATGGCGCATCACGTCTGAAACCCCACGCTTTACTATCTATAGTCATGGCATTTTCCCATTTTCTTTTGATCAAAACTCCTGTGAAAATAGACGAAGGCTTGCAATAACAAGTATTCATCAATGATATTATTACAATGTTAATTACAAGCCAGCATAACACATTACTTAATATCTTCAATGAGTATACCTTTCCACATATAAACATACTGAAGATGACCCATTAAAAAAATATCGAGATCTTAGGACGATTTTCTTGGATAGATATTTGTTATTTGGAAGCAAATTGGTGACTAATTTGTAGGAATGGTGGATATCGATATTTAAATTGGCATTATTTCAAGTTTTGAGTATATATATAAATATATTTAGTATTCTTGTCTTTAATCCGGACACGTTTATTACATCCGAGGACTATCCCTTCCCTGGGTACACTCCAGAAGATCTCATTGCCACAAGAGAATCCCTGCATTCAGGAGACAATATTTTGTTTTAACAATTTGACAGACTTGTGTATAACACTCACAATACAACACATGTCGCATATTAAAGTAGATTTAAACGATAGGAGCAACTATTAGTGTTTAATCGGCTGATAACCGAGTAAATGATAACACAATATCACAATAACACAATAAATCGTCTGTTCTGTCAAAATAGGGACAACTATCTCATGGAAGTTTATTACTGAACTAATTTATTCACAAATTACCCATTTTGAGGCAGGCAGACATTTAAGGCAGGCAGACAGGCGGGCAAGCAGAGATGGGGTTTAACGCCAAATCAATACAAACTATGTAATTTCGAAATTATATCCAGCCAGGGACCACAGGAAGGGATCTCCTAGAAGGTGGCTATCGAGACCACATAAAGGTATCTTCCAGAGGTTGCCTAGACAGAAATCATAGGAAGGGATCACACTACGGTGTGCTATCTAGATATAGAGGCCATAGGAAGGGATCTTCCAGGGGTAGGTTATCGTTATACCTGGTTGATATCTATCTGAACACGTTATGTAGCCACCGTGTTTGCATAATGAATCATTACCCCATCTATCGTTGATTACTATGGTATCTTTAACAGGACTGTTGAAAAAAGAATAAACATTACATAATCAATTTTAAAAAGTATCAAAATTTAACATTGTTATTGAGATTCGTAAGAAAAAGACGAAAAGACATGTTCAAGAAATTTCTCTTATTATGGAGAGTGTGTGGTACAATTGCTTGACAACAAAGGAAAATCTGAATATAATGAACAAAGAGAACTTTGAAGAGTTTTGACACATTCTGGAATATGGCAGCAAACTAGACAATATAATTTGTACACCGATTTCTATAGCGCCAATGTCATTCAAGCTATAAATGCACTTTACTGATTGCAATACCTCACCTGTCATTGTACAGCCATGCTATAAATTCTTTAGATTGCCAATAGTCACTTGATGCTTCCCAATCTCCATCAGACCAAATAACTTCAGGTTTATATTTATTCACTATTTCATACAATTCAGGCATCGTCTTGTCCTACAAAATATCCACCAATGAAACTAAAAGATGGAACCAAACGGATTCTTAAATTTTTAAATTATTAATATCAAATTTCTAATCAGATTTATATTCTACAGTGATTATTTTGTGGGTATAAAGTTTATTTATCATACAATGGTAGTTGGGATTTAATATTTAGGAAAAAGAAACTACTGTCCTACACATTTAACCAGAAAATAGTGGTAGATGCTGTGCATGGGACAAGGAATGCTTACTCTTTCCAGAACATCTGATACCCCTTTTCACATAGCCCTTGTTTTTTTTAGCCACTTGGGTTGCGACCCTGTTGGTGGCCTTTGACTTCTGAAATCAAGGTCCAAGTTGTTCTGCACGAAAAGGGTAGTCTTATCTTCTTACCCAGAACACCAGATACCATTTCTGGTTTGAGGAGTTTACAAAGCTGCATATAATTCTTATATTCTATTGACATTATGTACACATGTATTTATTATTTCACTTACATTTACAAAATTCTGTGTTGTGTAACCATTAGCTTTATCTTGTAGATAAAGAGGATGAAACCATTCATACAAGGAATGGTATAGACCAAAATGCAGCTTTGTTTTATTTCTAATAGCATTTGCTAATTCTCCTGAAAAGAAAATAACATGACATGGGGGCATTCTGACACTAACGAGATAATTTTTGCTAAGAAGATGAGAGGAAAATGATTCAATAGAGCGACTTGAATTTGGAATAACCACATGACAAAATCAACATAAAATGTACCAAAATTTAATATTTGAAATAATATTCATTTATTGTCTTCTATAATTAAATGTCATACAGTGAATTACTTCATAATGACACGATACTAACCTACAACATCTCTTTTAGGACCGACGTCCATGGAATTCCAATTAAATGAATATTTAGATGGCCAGTTACAGAAGCCTTCGTGATGTTTAGAAGTTAGTGCGATGTATCTGAAATTGATTTAAATATATTTGGTGTAATAATAACCGGACGGAAATATATCTGAGAAATAATACTAAAGTCTCTTACGCCAATATGGTGACCGCAAACGACCATATCCTACCGCCTCCTTCGCCATCTAACCTTCTCCCTCGCCATCTGACTTACAGTTAAATTCGTATCTTGGTCTTCGCATATTTCCCTTCGCTACTTTGTAGTTTCCCATTTGCATCCTCGCATTCGGTCTATATTGCTGAAAGGCAGTCGTATCTATGCATCTGCGAAGATAATAGATGACTGTTTTCAGCCATTATATTAAAGGAATAGAGGAACTATGTAGAAGTTATAAGACAAAATAGTATTGCTCATGGTTACAAAATCATCTAATAAAAGCAGTACAATGGGATTTAACTATTTACCATAGAGTTTTAGATTTACCAGGGAACGAAACTATTAAAAGATTTGCTGAAAAACAAAAACGAAACCTTTTAAATCGCCAACGCGCTATACTAAATCGTATTTTTTAATATAAAAAAACATCTTGAAGAAAATATAGGAAGAATAGTATACTCACTCAGCCCCCGATAAAGCAAATATATTCGCCCATTCATCAGCATTAAAAAATTCCATCGTCAGTTGTGATGCAAAGTCAGCATAAGTAAATTCTGGGCCATAATTATTGGTCATGAAATCAATGAAAATCTTCTCTTTTAGTGCCTTCCAGTAATACCACATCCAAGCAGTAGACCCATTAGGATTCCATGATGGCACAGCAAACACTCCAAAATGAATAAATATACCTAACTTAACTTCATCATACCAAGCTGGAATGGGTCTGCTGTCAATAGATTCCCATGTAGGTTCATAACGAACTGCAAAAGCACAGCTACACAATGTCAGTAAAACTAAGCTGAGATCTACTTTAGATAACATTTTGAAGTACAATGTTTTTATTTATAAGTAGGAATGTTCATCCGTATATGCAAGTACTTGCAGCTGAAAATATAATATCTGAATATTAATATCTGAAAAACACACCTGTTGTGATGGTAATACTGCGACAATGACAAAATGATCCCACAGCTTCTATCCCTTACGATCACTAGTGCATTTTGAAAAGTGATTTACAAAATAAATGGAGCAGTTAACAAATTTTAATGTTCAAGCTAAGTATTACGCGTGGACATAGACGGAGGGGGGTCCAATTCCGATGTAACATAATTGGAGATTTACGCTAGAAAAATTATAAGTTATGTAAATAAGAGAACAGACTGACATAAAAGTTCTGTTTAGTTCAAACGTAATTAATTGTTTGCAAATTCGTGATTAGGGCATTGTTTTCGTGGCCCATTTAGAGTCAAAGTCACATTAGAATTATAAACTACATCAGTCAATCTTGTTGACAGTTCCATATTTGGCGAATTGTTACGTCATTGGGTGTAATTAACCAATCACCTAATTAATACGAGAAATCGGGAAATAGTCGAAATGATAAAAAAAAAACTTGTCTGCGATATCACCCTAGGTGGAAGCGGACGTAAAATCTCCACTAGAAGAAGAATATAAAAGGCCAAAATAAAGCTTAGCAGATTGTGTCTGCGATATCACTCAAGGTGGAAGCTGACGTTACCCCCAAGGAACGAACGCACGATCTTAGCAGATTAGATGCCTATTGAGATTCTGAGAAGACAATGACAGGGTGTTTTCCAGAAGTCTAGCCACGCAGGGAAGACCTAGCTGACTGGGTTGAGAGAATGAAAGATCTATGAGTTTTATAAAACTGATAAAACAACACATGGTACGGTTGACTACACCGACAACTACCTTTATACTTTAACAACATTACTGTATAAGCTTGATAACGTTGAGAGAATAGACTTTGAAACGTCGCTCAAATAAATAAGTAGCTGTTTTTCCATAAGTATGTGTTATAGTTTAACATATGGTACGGTGATCATACAACATATATTTCATGTTGATAACTACGTCGGGGTCTTCCAAAATAAATAACTGTGCACAGTAAGGCTGACAGGGTCGTATCATAGAACGGGCTTTAGAGGCTGCAGCAGGGACCATCGCCTGCATAGATTAACCTGAAGGGTTATTTCAATAGTAAATACTGAAAAGTATTTTATTTTTGGAGAAATTTATTTGAAAGAATTACTTATAAAAAAAACATTTTTGAAAATATCACTTTGGGGGCAGGGAGGGCGGGATCTCACAGTACCTGTAGCCTATGAGCCGACAAAAATTTAATCCAGATGTGATGATGAAATGCAAGTGAAGAATAGCGATTTGCATTTATACTAGTAACTATAAACATATACCCGTAAGACAAACCGGCCGCATCCCCTTCATAGCCAACGCTAACGAATATACAGACACCGAATTCAATGCACTATACGTACAATACGATGGACTGAAAAAAAGATAACGAAACATCCTGGCCTTTGCGCACTGATGAATAATGAGTCACGCAATGCTCTTGACGTAGGTGGATGTGCCACACTACTAGACACACGGAGGCCCTTGTCCTGAAATCAAGGGAGCACTTTTCTCCGTTTAGGTGGCTCTTTTCGGGGCCCAAAGTCAGTGTGGTGGTGGTGTTAGTGTGTGGGTGTGAGTGGAGGTGAGTGTGGGTGTGTGTGTGGGGCGGGGGGGGGGGGGGTAGGGTAATATCAAGTTTTCTCCTCGGATTCTTATAGTTTTATTTTAGGGATTTTCAAAAACAATTCGGCGCCTCCGTTATCATCTGTTTCTGCCCTACTCCTTGTCACATACAAACTTGCACTTAGTATTAGACCACATTCGCATTTTATTTAAAGGGCTAAATTGACTATATCGCTGGATTAGGACCTCACACGACCTTCATATGGAGTTGGGATTGGGAGGCGGGGCGGGGCGGGGCGTGTAGAATGGCTAGCGTGTGTGCCTTGTAACATAAAGTCTGTTATTGAGTCAACTGGCGTGGTTTTGATTCCCCGGGTGTACGTGACAAGGGGTAGGGTCACCTGTCCAACCTCGTGCAAGCGAATTATTGAAATAAAATTTGAGCAATTAGTCCTGAAATGATTTAGTTTGTGTCGAGTAGACGTTAACACCCCCCACCTCTCTCTCTCTCTCTCTCTCTCTCTCTCTCGATTTACAGCATCCGCCAGACAATACTCAAAAAACATTATATAGAATCTTTTAGTTAATCTTGTTTCGGTAGTCAAGTTGGACATTAAACCTCATTTCGTTTCGGCAAGTATCAACATTGTTTCGGTTACTTTCGGTAGATATTGGTAAATTATACACCGAATGTAAATAAGCAATCATAAAGTAATACAAAGAAAACTTGTAATTGTGGAAGCCCCACCTGTGTAACTAACCTGAAGCCTATTCTTGTTTCAGTAGCACTCGACAGAAGCCACATAAAGTCACAAAGGCTGCGTCTGTTCTCGCTATGAAGCTTAATACGCTACCGTTATTGTCCGGAATGTAGTAGAATAGCCACAGTGAATATGGGTATGTACATATGAACTAGACCTGATAAAATTGGTCACACGTCTCCACTTTGTAATGCAACAAACCTTAAAGCGTTTTACACCTTGGTTTATGCACAGAAATATAAATATCAATAGTATGTCATGTGATCCGTTTTAGTCATATCACATGACATGCTGATGTGTACACATTGATCGACTGTATAGTATTTCCTCTATGTTATTTTATATTTGCTTTTGATACTGAACAATAAGGTAATCGCATTGGGCGCAATATAACAAACTATTTAGCACGTGAATCTTACGCATATACAGTCCTGAATTAACAATAAAAACAGCAATCCAACAATATATAATAAACATATTAATATAAAGGGAGAGAGAAATGGGCTTTAACGTCCACTTGACACAACTAGGTCATTTCGAGACTAACACATTGTTCAATTTTATTTCAATAATTCGCTTGCGCGTAGGAGTGGTAGGAGAAAACCCACGGGGTTAGGAAAGGTCGAAACGACGGCACTTTACTCAGTGACATACATTATGATCTAAAGAATATTGATAATAATGATTTAACAAAAAATGACTACTTTATTGTCAATAATAACGTCCCTTCCAACATACAAAAATGTCATTCAAATTAATACCATGAACCCCAAAATATATGAACCCCAAAGAATATATAATTGCGTTAGATGGAAAGTATACGATTGTAGGGCATTTGCACTTCATATAGATATACTCACTTCTAATATTTCACAGGATATCCGTTGACACTGGTTGGAGTGTGTACATCAAACGCCAAAATATTAAATGATGTGGTCTATATATTAGAGTGTGGCGGGCCCTGGATACGGCGGCGTAAAGGTGAGGGTTGAGGGTCCACCCCCCACACCCCCAGGAAAAAGGTAGTCGATCTCAAAAAAATAGTGCAGTCGGTCTCAACATTATGCATCGGCGACTGAATGAATGCCAAAATAGAAGGGAAAAAACCCAAATACTTATTATATGTATGAATATATCTGTTTACGATATCACAATACGCGCCAAAGGTTCAAGTACGTTTCATGTATGGAGGTATTAAGGCGTTGCCTTTAAATTAGGCGATATTATAAATACAATTGGGTTATTTGCGGATGATAATCAATATTAGTAAAGAATTTATAAATTATATAATGCTGAACTTATGAACCCCAAACGTCGGACCCCGGTCTCCATAAGATAATCCTCAATTAAACTACCTTTTGAAGTTTTCTATACGTTTAGTTTTTATCCGCCCACGTGGAACTATGGTCGTATATTGCCGTCACATCGTCTGTTTATTTCGTCTAGAGTTATGGCCCATATTTTACTTTGTTGAACCTTGTGAACGCCCTAATATCAAAAGTCATTATCTAATCTGTATGAAATTTATCTGCATCATTTAGATTAGTGAAACGAAGAAGACTACTGAATTTCAGCAATTTCGGTTAATTTTTTCTGGAGAACGAGAAAGAGAGAGAACGAGAGAGAGGGATGGGTTTAACGTCCATTCGACACGAACTAGGTTTCGGAACTAACACATGGTTCAATTTTATTTCAATAATTCGCTTTCGAGTAGGGGTCTTTAACAGTAGGAGGAAACCGGAGGACCCGGAGAAAACAGGCGGCCCTACTATTTGTCACGGACCTTGTTTTACTTTTTTGAACTTGTGAATGTTTGAAAGACAAAAGTTATCTTTATATTCCTTAAGCTCTAAAACAAACGAAACTAAAATACTGCGAATTTTATTACCAAAGACGTTTATATGGCCACTTCAATCACAGTGCCAGAAATATTCATCATAAACCTCGCGGGCAGCATTATTCAGCATAAACCTAGCGGACATCGTGGGTTGCACCTTTGCAAAATTCTTAATAAATAACGAGAATTCCCATGCGTACTAAGTGCTCAATTTTACTCATGTTATAAGTGTTTTTTGACCATCAGATTTCTGAAAAATCCTTCCCCAAGGTCCAGGAAATGGCATTTCAAGGAATCTTGATTCAAAACTTTCCCCGAGGGGCTACATGCCCCCCTCCCAAAGAGCTCACACATGCCCCCCCCCCCCCCCAACAAAATCGATATACACGCCCCTGGCTGAATATTTGGATAGGATGGAGAGAGGCCAAAGGCGTCAGCCAGTCGGGCAGTAGGGTTGGGGGCGGCGGGGGAGGGGGTGGAAGCTGTCCCCTAACTTTTGGGCAAACTGACTATTAGGGCAGGCGGCCGCGGTTAAAGTGAAAATAAAAATCATTATTTCATCTAGTCGGCAAAATAAAGTGTACAACTACAACCACTAACTTTCCCCCACTAACTTTCGGGTAATCTGACTTTTCTGGCAGACAGCCGCGGGTACAGTGCAAACAAAAATTATTATTTCATTTAGTTGGCAAAATAAAGTGCCTGAAATCTGACAAAACACTAATTTTACTTTTCGGTAAATACCTATATTTGGGCTAATGTGGTCCTCAAGATGCGAAGAAGAAATATTGTCCTTTAAGGGGCATTGGTTGTTATAACTTTTTGAAAGTCTAGTCTAAATCCGCCCATTTACTTTTGTCGAGGTTATTTCGTCTGTCGACTAAATCTTGTAAACGCTCTACCCGACAGGTAATAACGAAAAAGACTTTTGAGTTACATATCAATTACCTCAGTCATGCATTGCACTCTTCAGATTGCTTGACAAGATCATGTTGGTTTTTGTTCACAGTATCACATTTTTGTAGGTGAATTGGCAGCATCTATTAAAACCAACACCTCTATTCATTTTGGTATTTATCACTCTCTGTATGAATGGTTCAATCCATTGTTCATACAAGATAAAAAGAGTAATTTTACAACACAAAATTTTGTTAAAGTAAGCCTTATTCTTGTTTTTTATATGCAAATTATTTAGCATCGATTTTCATTAAATGAGTAACACATTTTTCATCTGTCACCATCTATGAGTACCCAGTGGGCAGCCGAATGAATAAAATGCAAATATTCTAAATGACTAATCTTCCTCCTGTGACCGCTAGCTACCGATTAATACCTTGCTAAGTTAATGAGATCTAATACATCCTTGCGAAATTACCAATATAATTATTTTTTCAAATCAATGACAGTCGATGTTTAAAATTGTCTGTATTACATTTTATAATCAGAAATATATATTTGCACTAAAACAAATGTTATATTCCTAAATAGTTGTTAGGGCCAGTTGTACGCCTTTTATTGAAGTATTCGATCTGTTAAAACAATAAACCTTATAGAGCAGGAGCCCAGGGGGTCAACCTAGCTGAAAATTGTACTAGTGTTCACCTATATGGTATTAATGCATGCATATCTGGTATCATCAGAATGTAAGTCTGCCGGGTATCTAGTGGTGGGTGTGGCTGTGAGGGCTGCGATTCTGGGTATGAATTCTTGGGCTAGATTAGCTCAAAAGTGTACCACATGAAAATGGTACAGCAGTGTACCTTACATCTTCAAGTATTACAAACACACTCTGACAGACATTTCTAGTGGTGGGGTTCCCCCGACAGAGTTATGTAATTGCCAGACCACAGCTAGGCTAGATTAGCTGAAATCTGTACCACTTAAAACTGCTTGGAAGTTGTTCAGCACCACCACAGGAACCAAGAATGATCACTGCGAGACAATTTGTGCGGTGGGTTACCCTGACAGACACGACGAAAATACCACGCCCCCCCCCCCTCCAACTAAAAGTGCTTGGAAGTTGTTCAGCACCACCACATGGATCATGAATTACAAGTGCCAGACAGATATTGCGGTGGGGTACCCCTGAAAGAAACGCCCAAAATGCTCCGTCCCGCAACTAGGCTGGATTAGCTGAAATATGTACCACTTATAACTGCTTTGGTGTTGTTCAGCACCACCAGATCAATCATGAATGATCACTGTCAAACCGATTGTACGGTGGGTTACCCCTAACAGACACGCACAAAATAACACGCCTCGCAATTAGGCTAGAGTAGCTGAAGTGTGTACCACTTAAAACGGCTTGGAAATTGTTCAGCACCCCAGGGATCACACTGCCCATTGCTAGAGAATTTGTTTGGTGGGGTTCTCCCTTAAGACACAACAGCCAAGCGCCCCCTCCCAAAAATTTGGCTTTATCAGCTGGGTCAGACTTATTGAGAATTCTGGGTATTACATATTTTCACGATCACTAGTACAATATGGAAAGTGATTAACAAAATAAATGGAGCAGTTAACAAATTCCGATGTAATATAATTGGAGATTTATGCTAGAAGAATTATAAGTTATGTAAATAAGAGAACAGTCTGACATAAATGTTTTTTTTTTGGTTTTTTTTCTTTATAAACAATATTTTATTTGATTTTAGGATTGGGAAACAGGCAAAGCCTATATAATCCCTGTTTAGTTCAAACGTAATAAATTGTTTGCAAATTCGTGCTTAGGACATTGTTTTCGTGACTCATTTTAAGTCGAAGTCGCATTAGAATTATAAACTATATCAGTCAATCTTGTTGACAATTCCATATTTGGCGAATTCTTACGTCATTGGGTGTAATTAACCAATCACCTAATTAATACGAGAACTCGGGGAATAGTCGAAATGATAAAAAAAAACTTGTCTGCGATATCACCTTAGGTGGAAGCGGACGTAAAATCTCCACTAGAAGAAGAATATAAAAGGCCAAAATAAAGCTTAGCAGATTGTGTCTGCGATATCACCCAAGGTGGAAGCTGAAGTTACCCTGAGGAACGAACGCACGAACTTAGCAGATTATGCCATTGAAATTCTGAGAAGACCATGACGGAATGTTTTCCAGAAGTCTAGCCACGCAGGCAAAACCTAGCTGACTGGGTTGAGAGAATGAAAGATCTATGAGTTTTATGTAAACTGATAAAACAACATATGGTACGGTTGACTACACCGACAACTACCTTTATACTTTAACAACACGGAATATGGTACAGTGATCATACAACATATATTTCATGTTGATAACTGCGTCGGGGTCTTCCAAAATAAATAACTGTGCATAGTAAGGTTGACAGGGTCGGATCATGGAACGGGCTTTAGGGGCTGCAGCAGGGGCCATCACCTGCATAGATTAACTGAAAGGTTATTTCAATAGTAAATACTGAAGAAAAGTATTTTATTTTTGGAGAAATTTATTTGAAAGAATTACTTGTAAAAATAGACATTTATGAAAATAAAAATTATCACTTGGGGGTCGGGGGTGGGGTGGAGCCGGGTCTCACAGTACCTGTAGCATAGGAGTTGACACCAATTTAATCCAGATCCGATGATGAAATGCAAGTGATTAGTGATTTGCATTGATACTAGTAAGTGTGTCAACTATAAACATATACCCGTAAGGCAAACCGGCCGCAAGTAAGCATCCCCAACATAGCCAACGCTAACGAATATACAGACACCGAATTCAATGCACTTTACCTACGTAAAGTAAAATAAAAATGTACCTCAACCATTTAAAACACATGACGAATTATTACATAAAATCTATTAAACAGAAAAACACATTTTATCAAATGATATCATTTAATTATCTTGTATTACTTTATTAAATTTAAAGTATTTATTTATTCTCAGCAGATTTTAAATATCTTATAAAGGTCAATATCATATGTTGTTCAATTTTATAGATTTTGTGTAATTATCGTTCATGTATGTTGAATAAAAAAATCTTTAGTGGTATCAGATAGCAAGTTTAGGCCGTTAATTGATGTACAGCACGAATTTTCGTTTACGTTAAAAATTTTAGTCCTAAATTTGGAATATTGGCTGAGCACTGCTATGAACCAGTCTGCGCAAGCGTCAGTTTACAATGGCCGTCGGATTCAAATGAATGTTGTTTATGTTTATGAAGCGCACAATTCTACATGAAAATAGTGTTGGATTATTATAAATTTGTGTCGGATGTGACAGGAAATGATTCCTGTTGGTGATCAAAGAAGAATCACGGTGAAAAATAGACGGTGAGGATTCTAAAATAGCCTTAGAACGGAGATGTCGGAAAGCTTTATTTTCATATTAGTTGTCATTAGATCTCACCAGTAACGAAGAGAGCAGGGCTCCAAGACTTAAGAATTGGTTTCTAAAGTAACTAAGTAAAGTCCAGTTTGTTCAGAACAGTAGGACGTTTTAACGTTTCGTTTCGGCAAGTATCAACATTGTTTCGGTTACTTTCCGTAGATAGTGCAAATTATATACCGAATGTAAATAAGCAAGCATAAAGTAATACAAAGAAAACTTGTTGTAATTGTGGAAGCCACACCTGTGCAACTAACCTGTATTCTTGTTTCGGTAGCACTCGACAGAAGCCCCACAAACCCTGCGTCTGCTCTACCTTGAAGCTTAATACGTTGCAGTTATTGTCCGGAATGTAGTAGAATAGCCACAGTGAATATGGGTATGCACATATGAACTAGACCTGATAAAATTGGTCACGCGTCCCCACTTCGCAAAGCAACAAACCTTAAAGCGTTTTACACCTTGGTTGATGCACAGAAATATAAATATCAATAGTACGTCATGTGATCCGTTTATTCATATCACATGATATGTTGATGTATACATTGATCGACTGAATAGTATTTCCTCTTTGTTAGTTTATATTTGTACGAAGGCCCATTAGTGCCAAACAAAAATAAAAATTAATCCGTTTGAACGAATTGGTATATCGTTTGAACGAACTAATTATCTCGTTTGAACGAACTAATTATCTCGTTTGAACGAATTAATTATCTCGTTTGAACGAATTAGTATCTCGTTTGAACGAATTAACTATCTCGTTTGAACGAATTCGTATCTCGTTTGAACTAATTAATTATCTCGTTTAAACGAGTTAGTATCTCGTTTGAACGAATTAATTATCTCGTTTGGACGAATTAATTATCTCCTTTGAACGAATTAATTATCTCGTTTAAACGAATTAAGATTTCGATTGTACAGAAGCGTGGGAGGGACATGCAGAAATCGTGTTTTAAGTAAAGATATGTCATTTAATACGTAAGTTCTTTACTATTTCTAGCGTTACCGTTAGTCGAAGGAACTACATTTATGAGAATGAGACTTAGTATAGAATATGCTGGAAGTTGTCCACGTTTTAAAAGCCGAATATATTTAATGTTAGCCTGAATTAGCCACATCATCGTAGTGAAGTCATTATGCAAGAGCTAAATCTGCCTATTGTAGGTCTTTCTTTAGGCCTTAATTGTTATATAAATTATTCATTAGACATTTATTAACATATTTGAGTAGATCAGAACGGTTCGGCCATTTAATGATTTAATTGAAAAATGGTAAAGCGGGTTTAAGCCTCGAATAACCACTACGGTGGTTACATTCCGTTCATATTTTGTCAAACCTTCAAAGGCTGATATCGTCGCTCAGAATAAAGTAATTTAATGAAAATTTCAATATATTTATTTTGCATTATCTATTTTTGAACTATTATAGCAAGAACCACCAACTCTTTATCTAAATCTTACAATATCATGTTTATCACTTGTATTGGAAAATTCTTATTGCATCATTTGGCTTAGTAACCAATCAATATATACTCTTCAAAAAAAGTAGGGGATATTCAGAAACAATACAAAACTGCGGAAATACACTGCTGTTTTTATTAGAGGTAACCAGTGTATGTTAATAACAGGCCAATTGCCTACACATGAACATAAACAGTTCATATGGGCGGCTTATCTGACGGCCCCATTTTACTCGCAAAGAGATACCGTGAAAAGTGGAAATGGAAGTTTTTGATTTTTGTGTTAATAATGAGTACTTGCTCCACCGATCCTCAGACATTCATCAATTTGCCGTGGCATGCCCCTAATCAACCGTCCAATCACGATTTTGGGCAATCTGACCCACTCCCCTTGCCACGGCCAATTCTTGCAGTGTTGTCGGATAACGTTGACGTCGACGAACACGTCTCCCGATGAAAATAAACGTAACACACTAAAGCAAAGATACGCAAAACAGTAAATCTTGTGCAAGAACCGACAGGAATGCTAACATGGATAGATAAACCAGCACACGGCAGTTTTCATCAACCCTTCCTTGAAGTGTCAAATTTGACAATGACCTCCCCCCCCCCCCCGCCCGTGTATGGCGCTATTGCGTGTCGCATGTGCAGCTCAGTGGTTCTGTTGGTGCGATAAATATCACAACCTGCATAGGTATTTGCATTTCAATACCCCTTACTTTTTGGGGGGTTGGATGGCTGAATTTTTGTCGCGTGCATGAGCTGTATCATAAAGTCTGTCATTGAGTCGACTGGCGTGGTTTCGAATCCCCGGTTGTACGTGACAAGGAGTAGGGTCGCCTGTCCAACCTCGTGGGTTTTCTCCGGGTCCTCCGGTTTTCTCCCACTGCTAAAGACCCTACGCGCAAGCGAATTATTGAAATAAAATTAAATCCATATGTTAGTTCCGAAATGACCTAGTTTGTGTCGAGTGGACGTTAAACCCCATTTCTCTCTCTCTCTCCCTTACTTTTTTTGAAGAGTATATACTAAACAGCTAAAAAAAAAACCGTTAGTACGATTTCAAAATCAGAGAGGCACTTTAATCAAATCATTCTAGAAAACGACTTACTAAATGGATCAAAGCAATTTTTTGTGAACAGTATGTTGACACATTAGATATTAATTCATCACAATTCCAAGACATTACGAGAGGGTTTAGAGTCTGTACACAGTCTATACATCAGTATGTAGCGTGTACATGGAGTGGACCAGACGATTTATGAACGCCCTTGGCACCCAGAACCACACTCTCAGAAAAGCCTGGCGCAATCCATCGGCTGTGTTTGGTCTCGGTACGACGTTATTAAGTCTCCTCTGAATATCATCCCAAAGATGTTCAATCGAGTTTAAGTCCGGACTAAGGGCTGTCCAGTGCATAACGTTGACACCATTCTGCCGTAGAAAGTCCCTAGTAACTCTGGCGGTGTGGGCACGGGCGTTGTCATGCTGGAAAACGTTGTTTCGATGACATATGAAATGTGGTATGACGTGGGGTCTGGGAGCTTGATCGATGTAGCGCACTGCTGTGATTTTTTTTATAAGCAATATTTTATTCAGATTTGTATCTCAATAGGGATTGGGGAACGGACATAGCCTATATTAAACCTCTCCTCTCCCTGGACCAAGATTTTGGAACACCACAGGACCCACCCTCTGGTTCAGGCCGATTCCACCCCAAACCATTATGCTTGGACCTCACTATGAGTCTCGTTCCATGACACATTGGTCAGAGTAACGCTGGCCATGTCCACGCCATATTCTGGTCCTGCCATCTGCAGTTGATGCGCAATACCGACTCTCATATGTGAACAGAACAGTTATCAATTGCCTTTGTCACCAGTTCTGGTGTTGTTGGGCAAACTGTAGACGTTCACGTGGTAACCTTGTAGTAAATCTTGGTCTACCAGTTCGGGGGCGATCATCCGTAGTGTTGGTGGCCCGAAAGCGTTGCTGATGCCTGTAGATGGTCCGAACATTGACCTGGAAGTGTTTGGCAACGGCGTGGGCAGTATGGCCAGCGTCGAGTCTTCCAAGCGCCTGGTTCTTCTGAGCTGTCATGAGTGAATGATTCAACCAGGTATGGGGGTTTTATAGGGCTGGTCCCGGTGAACAGCACGTGAACATGAGTTACATGGAGAACACATTACCATCTCAGAAGTCAGGTTGTATTTTTGAGAACATTTCCTGGGTTCAATTCTCTGTTTGAGAAGGAGCCTTTTTGCTCAGGTAAAGTTGGAGATGAGGTAACAAATAAACAATAAAAAGATTTGACAAGTTTTATGCAATGCGTCTATTCAGAGTAACATACTAACCTGGCGTTTCTTTTGCTGCTTAGTGTACAGAATCAATTAAATTGAAATAAAAGTTCATCAAGGTTAAATATATGAATCTTTGGCATTTTAGCAGTGTAAATGTGACACTAAGGTGTTGTTAAATAGATGAATTAACTTTGACTTCGACGTTGTGTATATGATCAATTAACTCTGAAACACTTCGTTTTGATAGCCATGTTTATATATCAAATACAGAAAAATACAACATCAATGATAGTACATTGGGAGTTATTATAATATCTACAGTCTGAATTTAACAAGCATAGAACTCAGACCTAACGGCTGATACACTACATTGTCTCTACCCCAGCCTCGAACCAAAGGCTGAGAGTACGTTCTTCTAACGTCCTTCTGAGAATACCATTACTAAATGATGTCTGAAAATACCCTAGAGTCCTAAAGGTGGCAAGAGCCACACCCTTCTTGATAGTTCAGCCGATTCTTCTCTCCTGGCTTGTAAGCCGGGGCGGCTAACGGTATGTCTCACTAAGAAGCCCACATGATGTCTGATGGGAAATTCAACCCGGCTCTTTCTTATATAGACAGTATAGCTGCGTCAGCTATTAGGGAGGGGCAATTACCATTTTTGGGTAAGTGTTTCGTATATCACCGTTTTACGTCAACATTATTCTATTTAACTGGACTAATCTGTGCATGAGATGACTGGACGATAGTACCCTACTTTTAGCAATTGATGGTGGTAGGAACTGTCTGTGAGTTAGTCTAAGAAAGATGAATCTTGTAAAATACCTACTTAGCGTATTTGTCGTTGTCACCAAGTTGTTTAACAACTTCAATATATTAAACAGGGCACCTTTTTTAGAACTAAAATAACCCCAATAGTAATACATAAGAACCGGAGAACCCACGGAAAAGCCACGAGCAAAGACAGACGGCATTATTACTTATATTTGCGGGACCGAGCTTACATAACACGACTATTTAAATTGACAAATATTATTGTCCACCTATCAGTTATTATTAACGTATGTTCTTGACACCTTTCTATTTAAGATAAGACATAATGTAGATTTGTAGGGCATAAATGTAGAACATAAAGTTGAAAAATAAAACACTTTTATTTTCAAGGACACAATTATTTTCAATGTTTTCGGCTGGTATTTTCCATAACGCGCTAGAAGTTCACCCAAATGGCCACACTTCCTTGTGAACACTCTACAGACTACATCTATTATCCGATATTTATGAAATGGTGTTTACATTAGTTTGAGGAAGAATCCTAATTAATGTCCGTCAACTACTTCTAGAGTTATGACCCTTGTTTCACTTTGTTGAACTTTTTGAAAGCTCTAACGAAAAGGGTTATCACCTGATGTATATGCAATTTATATGCATTATTTAAATTAGAGAACCGAAGAAGTCTACTGAATTTCCACAATTTCCGTTAATTACTTCTGAAGTTATGGCCCGTGTTTCCCTTTGTAGAAACGTGTGCACGCTCAATATGTCAAAAGTTATCATCTGATCTGTATGAAAGTTATATGCATTATTATGCAGACCATCGACTAATCTTTGCTTTATGTGGATAATGCTGTAGGATGCAATTTATGTTAGTACCTGAAAACCAAAGAGCACATATGATACTTATTGTATCTTTCTATGTTTTTTGAATGGCATGAAATTTTACATATTAATCATCTATTGTGACTGTCGTTTGTCTGTCTGTTTGTCTGTCTGTTC